TAGTCATTTACAAACTTCTAATGCTATTCTCATTGATCTTTGCTGTTGATAAGAAACACAATAGAAAATAGAAGCAAAAGTGTTTAGGAGTATTATTGGCAATCTATCCTTTTTTATTAATATAATGCAGAGATTTGCAAGAATGTCACCTCAAAATGAGGTAAACGTGTCAAGTTAAAACACCTAAACATTTTAAAAGAGCTTAAATATCAAGAACGCCTGATTCTTTTCAAGAGTCAAAACTTTCAAGTTTCAAATTCTAAAATTTTTACCTTAACATAAAAGTCATAATTTTGGTTATATCACATTGTACTTCAACTACAATAAAATCCTTTTTTCACAGTTGTAAATTATTATTGTTATTTGGGTATGTTTTAGAAGACAAAACGGATTTCTTCTACAAAACTTCACATTTAATTCAATTTGTTGCTGGCCATTTTTTTTTCTTTTTTTTCAGTGTACACTTTTGACATCTGCTAATTCCCCTCAGGAGATTAATAAAATACCCCAAAACCAATCACATGGGTAAAAAATTTTTATTGCTTATTTATTCAGCTTTCAGATGATGTATGGTTTGTTAGGATATGACAATATTTGGCCGAGATACAACTATTTAAAAAATCTGGAATCTGAGGGTGCAACAAAATCGAAACTGAGAAAATCGACTTTAAAAGTTTATGCTTGCGATAGTGCTGCAATCACTCACAAAAATAAAAGTTTTATATATTTATGGTAGGAAATTTACAAAATATCTTCATGGAACATGATCTTTATGATATGATTTTTGGCATAAATTTTTTTTTGATAATTTTGACCCACACAATGTATTGTTGGCTATTGCCACAAATATACCCATGCTACTTGTGACTGGTTTTGTGATCCAGGGTCACAATTATGTTAATTTTTGATATAAACAACATAACAAATCTACTTTGTTTGAAACAGTTTGATTTCACTTTTTTTTTTAAATGCAATAAACAAGCACATGAACTTGTAATGTGTTTAAAATGTTATATTATACATTTCATACATTCCTTTATTCTGAGGATTATTGACATTTTGACACATAACCATGTTCAGCCCCTCCTAGACCTTCACACAAAAAGCCGGAGGTATAAAATGGAAAACACAAGCAGTTTCTCAAACATTCTCAAACACCTGTGGAGGGATCCACAAATCCACAGGGTAAGCATGGAGAGATGTACCAGAAAGGTGATATGGATGCTTCAATGGATTGTATTGTACATTGGACTAAGTGCCTCACAGACAGGTAAAAAAAAATTTTTTTTATTTGATAAATATTACATGTTAAGTGAAGTAAATGAAAGTACAGATTCTCTTATATGACCTTGATTGCTTAATCCGTGAGACCTTTTTAAATTCCCTGCCCTGCTTTTCCAGTTTCTTCTATTGTCTTCTTCTATTGTGACACCATAAGCCAGAGATACAATTCATATTTAAGCAATCCTTAAAAAAAGGCATTAGTATTTCTATGAAATAGTTAGAAGGCATTATGGTACATAATCTTAGTTTGACATTGTTGATCAATGATGTCAGCGTGACAGAATTCATCAAATGACCACAATATATGGTCTCAAATTTTTAAAAGGTTATTAATTATATTATTATTCATTAATTATTTACTCTTATATTTTTTCTTTCTTTCTAGATTAATGTGTTTAAAAATAAAATATAAATGCATTTCATATTTACTGGTAGGAATTTCTACACTGTAATTTTTTATTCAAAGTTTCAAATAAAACAAAGAATTTTGGAGTATGTTTTACTAGAAAATGCTTTTTCAGTTTTTCTACTTCGAAATGTCACAGTTGATTCAATGTGTTACTAAATTCTTGGTAATTATTTGTGAAATTTAGTAGCAAAATCTGAGTTATATATTAGGGGTGGAAAAAAAAATCTATTCACATATGAATCGAATTGAATTTCTAAATTCAAAACGTCTGTTAAACGGATAGTTCACCCAAAAATTTCAATTCTGTCATTAATTACTCACCATCATGTAATTCAAAACCCATAAGGCTTTTGTTCATCTTCAGAACATAAATGAAGATCTTTTTGATGAAATCTGAGAGCTTTCTGACGCTTTATTGACAGCTACGCAACTACCACTTTGACGCTTTAAAAAGGTGGTTTAGTCCACATTTTCTGAAGAGACACGATTGAATTTAGGCTTTTATTCACATATAAACATTCATCAACTCGCACATTAGTTGTGGTAAACGGAAACTCAAGGATGTTCGCTTGACGTGTGAGAACCAATGATGTTCATTCTTGGGTTACGCAGCATGTTTGAGCTTCTGCAAGAACCAATGAGGTTCATTCTCATGTTACGCAGCACGTTTGAGGTTTGCAAGAGGTTTGTTATAGGATGTCAAGCAGATTCTGTTGAACTTCTGTTTATGTTGGTTGATCAATGTTTATATGTGAATAAAAGCCTAAATTAAATCTGTTCAACATGGCGATTGAATCTCTTTGGAAAATTTGGACTTAACCGCTCAATTAATATGGATTAGTTTTACGATCTCTTTATTAACTTTTTGATGTGTCAAAATGGAGTGACAGTAAGCTCTCAGATTTCATCAAATAATTGTTTTATATATATATATATATATATATATATATATATATATTTGTGTTCCAAAGATGAGTGGACGTCTTACGGGTTTGGAAATGGGTTGTCAAAAGTACCGACTTCGGTACCAAGTCGGTACTGAAATGTAAAAAATGTGACGATACCAGCATTTCCCTCTAGCGCTGTTGAATGGATTCTTAAACACCTCTGATTGGCCATGGTGTTCACGTGCTCAACATATATGTCTCTGATTGGCCGTTGTGTTCACGTGCTCAATGTATTTGTCTGTAATTGGCTACAATCAATAATCAACGCCTCAAAAACATGTTGTCTTCTTAACCGAGCACTTACACAGATACACACGGGAGCGTTTGAAAGCAGGCGTCTATTAGCGGATCTGTCTATCAGTGGATATATTATGGATCTGTTGATAGATGCTCGGTGAAGACATGTTTTTGAAGCGTTGATTATTGATTGTAGCCAATCACATACATATACGTTGAGGGCTTGAACACAGTGGACAATCAGAGACATATAGGCCTATGTTGAGAGCGTGACTAATTATGACAGAATTTTCATTTTTGGGTGAACTATCCCTTTAATAATGTGATGTTGATGGAAGGAACAAAGAACTGTGCAGCACCTGGGGCCGGTTGCACCACCACCTAGCTTTGACATAAATGGGGACTAAGTTACAACTTATGCACAGTGCACTACAAAATATTTTTGCATTGCACCATTAAACTTAGTTGAAGCGTAGCTACGTATAAACTAAATGTTGGAATAAAATAGCAGACAGACTTAACTGCATCAATAAGCTCTTGTTTTACCAAACAGACTTAAGAACAAATGATGCACCCGAATAAAGTACAGCGTTAGTTACAAACTAGCTAGTAGTTACTAAGCCTTTACTTTACATTCCAATTTAAGAAAGAAGTTATGAACGGCCGGTGCACCCCTTTCCTTGGACAGAGAGGGCACAGATAACAGAGAGGCCTTAAGGCGAGACACTACAGGTGAATAGGGTAAAATTTTGAAATAATAGATATCACTATGAAACTTTCTCAGTTGATTACTTACACAAGTATGTAAAAAAGATGTATTACAAGTTTTTGAAATTTGTATGTTTAATTATGCAAATTAGGCATTGTCTCATTAAATATGCATAATTTTGCATATATTTTCGGTAGATAGATCTGAACATATGATAAAGCCATGTGCAAAATTATTTTTTCATTTTGTTTAAACACAAGATGAAAAAATAATTCAGGATATATGCTTTCATTACCTAGGAAATCAAAATATACTGTCCATAGCTTTAAAAAATCAATTCTCGCCATATTTTTTTAAATTAAAATGTCACATAAATCAGGCCAGGAATGATTTATAAACAAATCCCTCTGAAAATATTCTGCTATATATATATATATATATATATATATAAATATATATACTGCTAAGGGTATAACTGGAAAGTTTGGTGTACATAGGCTACACAGGCTGAGATGTTTCTACTGGAGAATGACAAAAAACTCATTTTGAGAAAACAGCATTTAAAGATTTGTAATGTAAAAATTCATTCTTTTTTAAGTGGAAGCAACTATTTACAGACACAAATATCTTATCAAATCATTAGCAACAACAATACAAACCACCTAAATCACATTACAACTTATAACACAGCATTTATGGCCTTCACCTGAACAGAAAAAGTGTCAAAAACACAGAGCACGTCACGTGATGCATCTGAATCTGACAACGTGATTCGTTCAGAATCTGAACGAATCACGTTGTCAGAAATTGACATCAGCCAATGAGATTTCGGTTTTAGAGTTAAATGCCCATTGTACTTTCACGATTGGTGGCTGATAAAAAGGAAATGACCATATTTGGATCCGACAACAATGTGCAAGAGACGAGAGAGAGCTTTCCAACGGTGTATGTGATGACAGGGTGCAGATCGCGATCGCAGAGCAGCATGTTGATTTAGAACGACAACTTTTTGTTGAATTTAGGAGAAATCTACAGACGCAAACAAAGTGTAGTAAAATAAAGACCCAAATGTGTATTTTGGAAATGTTTTCACCACAAGTCTGAAAGAAGACATGTTATTGAAGACAAATAGCCCAAAATCTCAAAATTGACCAGTGAAAAAAAAACACGATGTTTTTGCCTGCCGTGTCTCGCCTTAAAACAGTTCCATATCAATATTTTAACGAATAGTAGGCTAAATAGCCTTAAATAATGCATAATGTTTGTGTTAATCGTGTCTTAAAAGATGAGACTTGGATTTGTTAGCCTACTTCACAAATGAGCTTGTGCTTAAACTTTAATCTAGGACATCGAACATCACAAAAGCCACCTCTCTTCTTCTCCCCTCTCCCCGGGCTTGAGTAAAATAATAATAATGTGGTTACAAGGTGAGTTTAATTTAAACTACTTTATTAAATAACTCTACTAACAGTAGCTGCTGTTCAGTTTTGCATACTGCTGCACTCCATCTACTCTGTTCAGAACTTCTTCCTCTCTTCATTAAAGCTCCAGTTTGGTTGATATCACAAAAAAGCAAAAGTCACTTAAATAAGCATTATAAAAAACAGACATATAGCCAAACTGTACCAGGGGAACAAATGTAAACAATATAAAGTAGTATTATCATACCCAATATAGGCAGGACATGTCATTTATTATAAACAAAATAGTTCAATATAAAATATTTAGATATTAGCCTATAAATTGATTGGATGAAGTTAAACAATAACATTAGGTTGAAAAGTAATAATTCAACAAAATGTCAATTACAGTTTAATTACACCTATGAGTTGTATTCAATACCAATCAATTGCTGCAGGATTTCTTGGAAGGGGGGTTCAAGGACAATAATAATAATAACAAAATCAAAAACAAGTTAAAAAATTAAAATTGAATTGTGAGATTCCAAAAGATTCCCAACCCTAATATACATAAACATATTAACACAGGAATGGTTATTCAATGTAACTGCTAAACACATCTAAAACAAATGTGTCATCCCACCTCTTAGACAAACAAGTCTGTAGCACATGGGGTAACTACCACTTCAAGAAATTTGATGGAGACATTTTCCACCTACCATCCACTTGTAATTATATCATGTGTGCAATGTGTGGGAGCACCTATGAGGATTTCAACATTCAGATGAGACGGAAAGTGATAAATGACCAACCAACTATCACTAACATCACAATGAAGTTGAACAGCACCGTGGTGGAGCTCACCAAAAACTCTGTCAGGATAGATGGATCACTGTAAGTAAAAGTTATTTATGAGGGTGAAAGTTACAGCAACTTTTTTGAAAGGCTGTGATTCAATGTGATCAATGTATGTTTTGTGTTAGGGTGACTCTACCCTTTCGCCACTCTGGTGTTCTTATTGATAAGAGTTCCTTTTACATCAAAGTCACTGCTAAGCTCGGACTAGTGGCCAAATGGAATGAGGATGACTCTTTCACAGTGAGTAGAACATCAATATGCAAAATTCCAGATGTTTAGCAAGAAAGAAGCTGTAATTGCTTATTTTCAGGTTGAACTGGACATGATGTACCAAAATAAGACCTGCGGTTTGTGTGGAGACTTCAATGGCATCCAGATACACAATGAGTTCATAAAATATGGTAACTAATGAATACATACATACTTATTTACTTACTTTATATATATATATATATATATACATATACATATACATATACATATACTGTATAGTTATACTCAAAACTTTCAGTTGTTTGCAAAGAACAAATCAAACAAAAGTAATTGAAAAAGCTAATCAAGAACTGTTTTAAATGGTTTCCTCAAATTCAACTGAAAATGCAACTTTAAGGACTTCTGCAGTCTCAAAATTATTCATCCCCTTCATGGCAAGCATCTTTAGTACTTAGAAGAACACTCTTTTGCTGTTATGACCAGCTGCAAACAAGACGTATAACCAGACACCAGCTTCTGGCAGCGTTTCTGAGGAATCTTAGCCCATTCCTCATGAGCAATGGCCTCCAGTTCAGTAATAATGGGTTTGCGTACAGTGCAACCGCCTTCTTAAAATCCCACCAGAGATTTTCTATGGGGTTCAAGTCAGGTGACTGTGATGGCCACTGTAGAATCTTCCAGGACTTCTTCTGCAATCAAGCCTTGGTGGAATTTGAGGTATGCTTGGGATCATTGCCCTGTTGGAAGGTTCAATGATTCCCATGCTTCAGCCTCCACACTGATGGCATGATGTTTTCTCCTAGTATTAGCCACCACCATGCTTAACTGTAGACAGAGTGTTCTTTTCAGCATATGTTTCATTCTTCTTCCTCCAGACATACAACTGATCCATATGGCCAACAATCTGCAGTTTTGTTTCATCGCTCCACAGAACAGAATCCCAAAACTTCGGTGGCATATTTACACTGAACAAAATTATAAACGCAACACTTTTGTTTTTGCCCCCATTTTTCATGAGCTGAACTCAAAGAGGCATATTTCTCTCTAATATTGTTCACAAATCTGTCTAAATTTGTGTTAGTGAGCACTTCTCCTTTGCCGAGATAATCCATCCAACTCACAGGTGTGGCATATCAAGATGCTGATTAGACAGTGTGATTATTGCACAGGTGTGCCTTAGGCTGGCCACAATAAAAGGCCACTCTAAAATGTGCAGTTTTAGATTTTTCGTAACTACTGTTCCTTTAACTTTGAACTTGCAAACTTTGTTTCCATCGGTGTTCATAGAAACATCTAGTGCCTTCGCTATCATTTTGTATCCTGTCCCTTTTTGTGAAGGGCGATAATATCTTCTCTTAGCTTTTTGGGCCATTCTTTTGACTTTTTTCTAACATGCAGTCAAACGTGACACTCAACAAACCTAGCCAGTTCAGATATTTCATGTGCTCTAGCTCAAGGACACCTGGTGCAACTAATTAAGCCCTTGATTAGTTGCATCATGTGTGCTTGAGACAACACCTGTTTTGCAGATTTTTATTTGTGCTATTGTGAGTGATTCTATTTAGGGAGTTAAATAATTTTGAAACTGCAGAAGTCATTAAAAATATAATTTTCAGTTCAATTTGGGGAAAAAAACATTTGTTGTTTTTGTTCATTGCAAACAGCTGAAAGTCTGTACATTTTGCCAGTAAACCTAAATTTTGCAATGGGGGTTGAATAATTTTGATTACAACTGTGTGTGTGTGTGTATGTGTGTATATATATATATATATATTCATTACAAAATAGTTGCATAACCTGATACTTAACTATGAGTTTTATACAAAACAACAAGCCTAAAATATGTTTTATATGCATAATTATATGAAACTCAGACAGATCTGTAAATGACTATGGACACTTCGTAAAGATGGATAGTTCAACAGAGAGTTGTATGGAACAGATCAGTTCAACAAAGGCATGCAAAAAAATGGTAAGTTCTTTGTGTGTGTGTCTTCACTTTTAGAAAACGTAATGTTTTTTTGTTACTTTATTTTTGTTTTGTTATTGTCTTTGTTCTTGCCATTTTTTCTTCCCCAATGGCAGCTTTATTAGCCATATATAGGAAAGTAATGAAACATGGCACACTGCAGTGTGACCCTATAGCACCAGATAAGAAAAAAAAAAAAAACATTTTATTCTGGTTATAATTGTTAACAATTTCAAGCAAAGCTAGATGCAATTTTATTATATTTAAACTTTGGCCGTTACACTGTCCACAGCATTTGAATGTGACATTAATGTTTTTTCTTTAAGTTTTTCCTACAAATCTGGTTAGTGGCTCAGATAATTTCCAGACCAAGCCACACAGAACAGAATTTCGATTTTTGCTGTTGTTTAGAACTTATGGCATTGCTATGGATGCTTGTTTCCGCCACTGAATAAAAAATCTAAAAGGTAATTGAGACTTTTTATCTTTTCATCTGACTTTTTTCTCTCAATTGCTAGTTTACAGTTCACAATTCTGACTTCTTTCTCAGAATTGCGTGATATAAACTCGCAATTGTCAAGTCAAGTCACCTTTATTTATATAGTGCTTTTTATAATACAGATTGTGTCAATGCAGCTTTACAGTGATAACAAGAAAATAATGCAACAAAGATAGTTTCAGCTGTATATAGCCTCTCTGGAGAAAACAGTGATGTCATTGTCTATGGTGTCATAGTGTCAATGCAGGCAGATCAATAATATTGTTGGGGGGGGGGTTGCAGTTCTCCTCTGGCGAACGAACGAACAGTGTATGATTATGATTTAGGCAGCATTACAGGTCAGAAGTCAGATTGGATAATTATCTAGTTCCATCTGGTTGAAGATCGGAGTCATCACGCCAGTATGGTGAGTTATAAAGTCAATAATGCATGGTAAAAAGTCACAATTGTGAGTTATAAAGTCAGAATTGTGAGATATAAATGGGGAATTGCGAGTTCAATTCTGAGGGAAAAAATACTTTAAAAAATACGAGTTAATGTAACTGGTCCTACTTGACCCGCTCTGAGCAGGATTCGAACCGGGGTCTCTAGAGTGAGAGGTGGGGACGCCAACAAGGATGACACAGCCACTAGATTGCCTCTTGAGGCCAGGGGAGTGAGCTTTACATGCACTGGCCTACGTCTGTTACACTCACCCCCCTAATCCTCACTCCCATCCGGGTCACGGCACTAAATGTACCAGTCCTACTTGACCCGTTCTGAGGCCAGGGGATTGGTTTACACACACAGCTCTTACTGGCTTACATCTGTTACATTTATACCTCAATTCTGACTTTATAATTCACAATTGCGAGTTTATATCTCACACTAGTGGCTTTATAACTCGCAATTGCAAGTTTATCTCACAATTCTGAATTTATATCTTGCAATTCTGACTTTATAATTCACAATTGCAAGTTTATATCTCACAATTCTAAGAAATAAGTCAGAATTATGAGATAAAAAGTTGCGCTTACCATTTTTATTTATTATTCTGTGGCAGACACAAGCTTACATACATTGCAAACGGAACGATAGTGACCCAAAACGAGTGCTGTATCTCAACTTGAAATTCAGTTATATTGCTAATGTGAAGCGCGTTATAAACAATTAGAGATATTCAAGACAGAGTTTTGTTTGAGAAACTTATTAAAACATAAACAAGATGATTTTGCATGTTTACCAATGAGCCTCCCATTCTCTTATTCATCCATCTTATCCAATGTTTAAAAATATTTTTTCTTGGTTATGTGAACGTTAGAGACAATAAGGGAATGTTTTATTTGAACATTTTGCAAACATTCTGGGAGTGTTACTTTTGAATGTTTTCTGAACCATCTGAAACAAGAAGTATGTAATAACATCTAAAAATGTTCATTGAAAGCATGAAATTGTGTTGTAGATAAGCACAATTGATCTCTATGAAGTTGAGCACCACTATTTCTGATACCCTGTCTTTACCAAATGCTTAGCCCAGGTGTTTATGTTGCTCATTATGTATTTCAAGATATCTTGCTTCATGCTTTTAGACATCAGTATGTGAGCAGCTGCTCTCAGGCCCATCTTTCAATAGCTGTAAGGACCTCGTACCCCTCGACTTATTCATCAAAGCCTGTGAATTGGACATGTGCTACTGCACCAACAGGACCAGATCCTTTTGTTTTTGCAGAACCATCTCGGAATACTCTCGCCAATGTAAACAGGCAGGTGGAACGCCTGACTCGTGGAGGACTCAGCAGTTCTGTGGTAAGTTAAAACTTTTCAGCAGTCTGTTCCAACTCTGTTTTAAGTTGAAGTGTGAATGGCAATAACATTATATATCTCTTCAGGTAAATCATGTCCATACCACAATATGGTGCACCAAGAATGTGGAAACCCTTGTAGTAACACTTGTTCAAACCCTGACAGAGGTCATATTTGTAAGGACCACTGTATCGATGGGTGTTTCTGTCCTGCAGGTATAATCTGATTTTAAATGTACAGTTGTCAGCTTTTACAATTTTTTCATGCAAATGCAAAATTATTTCCACATTAGGCAAATGGCAGCATGATATGTTTTGTTATAGGATACCTGTTTGATGACCTCACTGGTAGAGGCTGTATTGCCAAGAATCAGTGTCCCTGCATCCACAATGGAATAATATACAAACCTGGACAAACTTACAGAAGTAACTGTAAAGAATGGTGAATATATATTTTATGTATATATTGCACATCTTCACTACCTTCAGTTTTTTGTATCCTACTTTTGAATCCGTTCCGGATCGGAATGTTTCTTTTTGTTTTGGTCTGTGTGATCCCGCCCACTGCCAATTTACCCAATAGTATTCCGACAAACCTGGTTGCCAGTTGGTGTAAAAGACAGTGTATTACAGCGATGGATGGCAGGAAACGAACTGGTTCAGAGATCATAGATTCTATCCGACCTTAAAAAAACTCAGCATCCAACATAAAAGCTCAATGACCAGAGGAATATTAAAATGCGGATAAATACATGTGTTTGAGAGATGGAAACAGCTTAAAGCCCAGAAAGACTTTAAAACAAAATGCTGATTTGGCTAATTTTGTCTTGATAGGTAAGCATTGAGCTTCTGCTAATGTTAGCTATGTTAACGGTGATAACAAAATCATTGACTACTTTTACATGCACCCTTATAATGTGATTATAACGAGATTTAGGCAATTTTGAAATAAAATTTTACCTCATGTAAGCGCAATACTTCGATCAAATTGATTTAAGCTCAAAATCTTAGTCATCATACTAGTAGTAAAATATGTGGCTATTTTATTCATAAAACAGACATATAAACACTTTAAATCACAATAGGAATGGGAGAAACTAAGTTTTTTGAAACTTTGAATAATTTAAACCAATTGACCTATCGGTAAGCCCCTCCCCTCGAACGCAGATGAGCCAATGGCAGTTGAGTATCAGTTGCACGGGGACCGGAACTCGAAAATTTTTAGGTTTCAGTGCCATAGAGAATCATTGGAAGATCCGAAGCTCTTATCGGTTTGATGATGTTTATGCTACAAAAATGGTAAAACGATGTGCCTGGGGTACTTGTGTAACCCCTCACCCAGGTCCTACTCGCCCCGCTCTGCACGGGCCTTGAACCCGGGTCTCCAGCGCTCTAACGAGGAGGATAAAGACTGTACCCTCCATTACACTCCCCCCCCAAACCTCACTCCCACCTGGGTCACGGCACCAATATAACCAATGTAGGAGGCTAAAGACTGCAGCCTCTAGCGTCAGTCGCTAGAGCGCCTCTTGAGATCAGAGGAGTGAGGTTTACTCGCACAGCAACAACTAGCTGGCCTCCGTTACACTTGTAACACTGATTCCAGGTATCCTGAGATGATTGGCAATGGAATTTATTTTATTCCATTTCCTAAACCCATACAAGACAGAGCAAAATGTCTGCTTTCGATGTGGGCGCAGTAACCTGGTTCCCTAAGGATTCAACCCCAATCCCAAGTGAAGACGAATACGTTCATTTTCTGGTTGTCATATTCTCCTAAGTTACAATTAAAGTTAGTGAGTTCATGCTAACGTACAAACCTAAATATCTAACTGTTCTCACGTCATGTACAGACTGGTCTACAATTCAGTGCTTCTTCATATTAAACTGATTAAATGTACATTAATTTAATCTTACCCTGCGGTATATGAACAGTGTTGATCCTGGATGTTGTCATCTGTTATCATGACGACCATAACATGAGGCTTCTCCCGCTTGCATTGTGATCTGTAAACCCTCGCTTCCAAATGAATCATGTTACCCACCATATTTATTTTAGAATCTTTTATATTTCCCTTTATGGCATATTTAAGTCCCACATGATTGCTCCTCGACGAGAGGTGGTCCTTCTGTGTCCAAAATTTATCAAAAACATTTTTCACACTGACAGCTGTCATTGAATGACAGTTAACAACTCCATTTGTTTGTCCGAGTTCGCAACAGTAACTAAGGGGGATGGGGCTTACCGATCCCTGTTACTGTTTCGGAGCTCTCAAAATGCCACATGCTGGTGTCCCCTGCAGGCCAGAACATCATTAATACAGTGAAAACCTAGCCCAAACATGCATAAAAACACCTTTTACAAACCAACTGCAATTTTTTTTCCGAAGTCCTATTACATGCAATTAACAAATCATGATACTATTAAATATGAAGTGTCTTTATAATGTGTTATTTTTTTTAATTGTAGGGTTTGTTTTGTTTGTTTTACGGAAAGCTTGGTTAATCAGAACAATAAGATACGTTTAACTACAACTCTTCTTTTATATTACCGGTATGCATATGCATCATTAAATGTCAACATCATTACAACAAACAACAACAAACTTATTAAATTGATCCGAGATCAGGTAAAAAATCATATGTAGACACTGGTTTATGGGTTCACAGAGATCACCTCTAGCAGCAAACCATTGAAATTTTGTAACATTTCGAGGCAGTTGTTGGCGTTATGGCAGTACTCCAAGCATACAAATCCGATCTGCTGAGAGACTTAGACCAGGGTCAGGGTCTCTTCCCTGACTCGGTGACCGAGTTGCGCGGCACTACAGACCTGGCGCTCTAGGCCACCAAGCCCGGAAGTTAGATGCAGCGTACCTGTAACGGTGACCGTTTCAGAGGAATGAGAGTGGGATCCAGATGCAGCAAGCATTTATTCAAACAAACATAATAAAATTAAATCCAGGCAAAACTGATAAATGCAGACACAGGCAAGGCGGGCAAGCAAAACTGACAACAAGTGCACACATAACATCCATAGACAAAGAACACCAGACAAAGAACATGAGAAACACTTGGGTATATATACACTCAAGGGGAGATTGGCGAACAAGACACACCTGGGAACAATCATGAACTAATCAACAAGAAAAACTACAAAGGACTACAAAACATTGCACAGAACAGGAAATAACATTAACCCTCTGGGGTCTAAGGTGTTTTTGGGGTCCTTGAGATGCTTTGACATACTCTGACATTTGTGCTTTTTTCAGCTGCTTATAAACAAATTACTGGCAAAGGTGTAATTACACTCTATTAAGCACAAACAGGGCTACCATAATATGTGAGCAACATGTATGTACATGTTTGTATTTTTGAGAGAATATTGTTTATGCGTGGTTATTGAAAAAACTAAAACTTAAAGTTTCTGAAATAAGGCCACAAAACACATACTAAATATGTGTCCACAAGACTTTTGACTAATGGATGTTGTCGCCTAGAGTTTTTTCTTCAAAATGATCTGAAAATCATCCTGCCTAATTATTCACATAAAACAATAGATTGGTTTAAATTTAAAAATGACACTTTTTGTTTGGAAAGGCAATATGCGCATGTGACCTGCTGTGATTCACACCTGAGAAGACAATGGGCCCGCATAATGAGCGCATAATGGGGCTGCATACTAATGAGCCTTTCATTCAAGGTGTGTCACTGAGCCACAAGAATGCAATGACAATATATATATATATATATATATATATATATATATATATATAGGCCTATATAATACAAAATTGGTTCACAGTTCCAATTATTTATTTATTTTTCAAATTGTGCTTGCAAATTGTATAATATCAAATGTAAACATTTCTAGTAATTGTGCAGTTAATTCTCATACTGTATTTACAGAAAGTTTGGGAATATATCCCAAATGTGTCACTAATAAAACACAATACAAATAATTTAAAGAGGAGGCTTATATTGAGCTTTTAAGATTTACCTAAGATTTATTTATATGTACATATATTTTTTGCTATTTTAATAAAAAGGTTACAATTACAACAACAATTAAAAATTTTACTATATTTCAAATGTAATCTTTCTTTGTATAAACTAAAGTATACATTTTATCATGCATATTTCACAGTTGCGGATTAATTAGTTTGAATAGCCTAAAATCGAACAAACACTATAATAACATCTTAGCAAACAAGCTTATTTGATGTGGCAGTATTTTACAGTAAAAACGACATCTTGTCTTTCATGTAACATATCGTTTTTATGATTAGGGCATATAAATGTTAATTTGCAGTTTAATACGTTGCTTATACAAAAATATTTTATTTCAACATATTTCAGTAGATTTTTACTCATCTCAGTATTGGAATATAGTTAGGTAAAAGCTGTTCATTCATTCACACACAAAAATGCGATTCATATTCAAACAGTCTTTTTGTTTACAGACACTATTTCATATCGCAATTAGAACAAAGCACTTGAAAATAAAGAATGTACCTATTCCTCAGCTGGATCCGTTCCTCCTCAAAATGAAACTACCTGCACTTCTGAGGTAATTTTTTGCAGGATTATTATTAAGATAGTATTATTCCTCACAGCGTAGTAAATATGAGTCTCTTTCGGTGGGTTATCCAGCTGATGTGTGGGCGTGGATCGCCTCAGAGCATTTGTGTTTGAATAGAGCGCGCGCTCCGTGGGCGTGGTCAAATTAACTTTAATGACCTGAGAGAGAACGACTATCATCTCTCTCTTTTCGTACAGATTACATAAAATGAGAAAATTTGTTTTTTATATAAATTACTTCATTTAAAAGAAGAGAATTTCAGCTTCATAAAGAGAAATCTCTCGTGTCTCTGTGACAAGTATTTACTTAGTTACAGTTGAGTTTTCGGAAGTGTTTCAGAATGGACTTCACTGACAGAGAGAAGGCAGAACGCGCATCATGTTTATTGTTTTTTATTTGACAAAAAGCAGAACACTTTGTTTTTATTGTGAGTATACACAAAAAAAAATAGACACTTAACAGGATCGAAAGATGTATAACACTTATATGTAAGATCAAAATCAGCAGAGTATTTTGAGTCTCTTTTGCACTTATAAGAAAAAAAGTGAGCTGGTATCACCGGCGATACCGCCGACCCCAGAGGGTTTTAAAAGTCCACACAAGACAAGGGGAACACAAGACAGGAATCATGACAGTACCGATAAGCAATAGAGCGAGGCTGAATAAATGGGGATTTAAAGGAACTGCTGTGATGAGTTTCCCAACTGGATTGGTGGCCTGCCTGAACTAACATGAAGCTCAATTTTGCAAATATCATACCAGTTACACTGCTTTGGAATTTGCAGTGTTGATACTAATTTTACCCTTTCATTCTCTAACACACTTGTATGCATTTTTATATATTACATTTTTTATATGCTCTTATCTTATGAGTTTTTTTTCCAAGCTTGTCTGTTTTCTATTTGTACAATCTGCTCATGCCAACCAGGGTTAGATTTAGGGGTGGACCTTCATGGTGACGTTTTACGTGCAAAGTAAAGTTTAAAATAAAGAATGATAAGTTGGATCATATACATTCATATGAAATCACCAACTTGTATAATACTAAGGAATACTTACATCAAGACTTATCTGTATGTGCAGTACCTGTAAAGGTAGGAGATGGCAATGTACCACAAACCTGTGCCATGGAACCTGCACAGTTTATGGAGATGGCCATTTCATTACATTTGATGGGAAAAGATACACTTTTGATGGAGACTGCGAATACACATTAATCAGAGTAAGTACGCAATAAATCTACACAAAACACAATACACTTTGGTTTCATTTGCTTACAATAAAATTCATAAAATAATAATTAATAACCATCATACTAAATATATCTGCAATTGAACTGTTGGTGCAACTATTGAAACTGAATGACAGACCCCAAGCTTAGTCCAGGGATTTGCCAAATGTTATTAATAAAACTAACTGTAAGAAAAAAAAAGATAATCAGTATTAATATAAATACAGAGACAAATTTGTGTGATTTATACAGGATTATTGTGGTCGTACCAATGCCAGTGCTACTTTCAGTGTTCTCACCGAAAACATACCATGTGGAACTACTGGCACCACTTGCTCTAAGGCTGTCAGAGTCTTCCTTGGGGTGAGAGTCCTTGGATTTCTACAGTTATATTTCTGTTTTGTTAATACATATATTTATGAACAGATCACATGTGGCTGATAAATAAACATATTTTACTCTTTTAGAACAAGGAGATTAAATTGACAGATGCGGGTTATCAGATTATTCATAGAGATGAGGGGGAGGACATTCCTTATCAAATTTGGATAAGAGGAATTTACATGGTCATTGAGGCAAACAATGGTCTAATTGTCATGTGGGACCAAAGGACAAATATCTTCATCAAACTCAGTCCGAATTTTAAGGTGAGAAATAAATTTAGAGTCAATGACTGAATAACTGAATAACTGCCTACAGAATAATAGACTACAGTACAAAAATATATATGCCTCAGAGATTACAGTTTATTGTTAGATTTAGCTGTCTTGAAAAGTTATTGGATGTTTTTGATATACAGTATGTGTTAGTTAATATGCATTTTGTTCCATCACAGGGTACTGTTTGTGGTCTTTGTGGGAACTATGATGGGAACGCAAACAACGAATTCATGTTGAGAAGTCAGGAGGTGGTAATTGAACCCTTGGACTTTGGAAATGATTGGAAAGAGTCCTCTAGCTGTCCTGTTGCTATGGAAATTAGAAATCCCTGCTCAAGTAACCCTTACAGGGAATCATGGGCTCAGAAACAATGTAGTATCATTACAAGTCAAGTTTTTACAACATGTCATTCTCAAGTAAGTTAACAGCATAGTGAGCTTGTACAAAACCCATTTGTTTTTGTATAGATAATCAAAGTATATTTGTCTCATTAAGGTGGATCCCAGTCATTTTTATAATGCTTGTGTGAGAGACTCATGTGCTTGTGATAGCGGTGGAGATCGTGACTGTTTGTGTGCTGCTATAGCAGCCTATGCACAAGCCTGTAATGAGGCTGGAACCTGTATTGCGTGGAGAACCCCTAAAATATGCCGTGAGTCACTGATCATTTTCTCAGTTTAATTTGATTCACTGAAAACAAATTACATATAAGAGACCAGCACAAAATATTTTCCTTTTCTTTTCTTTTTTTTCTTACAGCATTGTTCTGTGATTATTACAACCCTTTGGATGAATGCGAGTGGCATTACAAACCTTGTGGAGCTCCCTGTATGCAAACCTGCAGAAATCCAACTGGGCAGTGCTCAAGCCAGATACTAGCACTTGAAGGTAAATATTTAAATCCAAAAAGGTATGTTGGGGTTCAGACAGATAATAGCAACAGTGATGGATATTGTTGTGTAGGACTAGGATTGTCACGAACAACAGATATTCTCTACATAATTATATAGGACAAAAGAATTCACAATAATGATATTGTTCTAGCTATAAATATTTTAAGGAAAAACAGAAAGAACACTATTAGTCAAATTAATTTTTGTTCATAACGTTTGCATGTAGCAAATCCAATAAAGAGAGATACCCAGCAAACACAGAACGTTGGCACAATGTAACCAACCTTCTAACAACTTTTAAACAACATGGTTGCTGTAACTACGTTGTGTGGTGAAGGTTGTTACGGCATTGACACTATGTTGACATTTAATCACCGTTCAGGGCCATTGCTTAAGGTTGTGCGTAGGGTGTCTGGACGACCACTGGACGACATGTAACCTACTCGTCACTGCCCTGAAGCGCGAAAATCAGCCTTTTAAATTTAACAAGGATATGTGAATATTGCGTTTTATTTACCTCAGCTAAATAAGATACGTAATTATTCAAACACAACCTACACTTAATTTTCTAATTTGACTAATGTAGCCTCGCTCAAACTGTTTAGTTTTTCATTTGATTTGTCTGCATTTAGTCTCATTCGTTTCTTTGCTCCTCTGGATTTGTTGATGTTTCCTGGACTCATTCCAGTTACTGACCTTTATCAACGGGCTTTCGACTACACTCCCCTGTCAGCCATGTACAGAACCCGGTTTTGTTCATTAAAAGTTCTGATCTTTGCTTTTTATTTTTTATTTATTATGTTTAAAAGAAATGTGTATATTCATTTATTTAGTGTTTTTTTTTCAAATGTCTGACTTTTGCAAGTGCAATTTGATTACCATATGCAGTTTTAATAAAGTTGAATTAACGTAATTAACCTTCTGTCATTGTTACTCTTCAAAGTGTACAGTTGCAGGTGTTGATTATAATTAGGCTAATTTACTGATAGCCCCATTAATAATAAGGATAAACATAATATAATTATAAAAATATAAATCTAACATCTGACTAACTAAAAATTAACCTCAAAACATAAAATGCTATATGGGGGATATCTATATCTAGAATAAAAAAAAATTGGTAACACTTTATTTCGATAGTCCACTTTAGACATTCTACTAACTATAGGTAACTTTGCAGCTACATGTCAACTAACTGTCATTAGAGGATTACTAGACGGGTTGCTTAATATCGGCTAACACTATATTGTGTTGGTCCCCCAACAGACATTCTACTGACTATAAGTAACTTGGCAACTACAAGTCAACTTGTTCTCCTAACCTGAACCCTAATACCTAACCATAACCTAACAGTCTACTACAGCCTACTAATACTCTAATGAGAGTTAGTTGACATGTAGTTAAAAATTACTTATAGTTAGTAGAATGTCTTAAAGTGGACTATCGAAATAAAGTGTAACCAAAAATTAAATGTCAGAACGTCGTCTCTCAGTTGCTGAATGTTGCGCAACAACGTTGCTACAGCCCTGTCGCGTCTTACAATTCTACGTTGTTACAATGTTGCGAACACATAGACAGCGACGTTGCCATAGCAGAAATGCAACGTGCCACAGACGTTGCCACAATGTAAATGTGTTTGCTGGGTGACGCAGAATGATGATGAAACACGAGATTAAATAAACAAAAAAGTGAGAATATAATGGGTTACTTGACTGTAACCCTGTCCCTGTTTCCTAAAAAAGTGGGAACGAGATGCTGCGCTGACAGCGCTATGGGGAAACATCTTTGTTTGACCAGTTGTGAAGTATGTGTGGCAAACACACTGCTTTTACTCTCTGGGGTCTGAGGTGTTTTCTGGGCCCTGGAGGTGTTCTGACATGTCCTGACATTTATACTTATTTCTGTTACTTGTAACATTTTCATGGCTAAAGTCTGATTACGCTGTATTCAGCACAAAGTCTGCTACAATAATATGTGAGCAGCATGTATGTAAAAGTTTGTAGTTTTGAGAAAATGACGTTCATGTGTGGTGTGTGAAAAACAAAAACAATTAAGTCACTGAAAAAAGGCCATAAAACCCATACTGATTATTTGTTCACAAGACTTTTGAAAACGGAATCACGTAGCCTATTTTATTTGCTTTAAAACTATGTGAAAATCATCCTGCCCACTCAATCACATAAAACAATATATTGATAAAAAATTTGTAAGATTTTTTTTGTGTAAGAAAGCTGTATGCAAAGAGGGCATGAATGATTATGAATATTGATGTGTTTCCCCTCCCCTGGCAGAACGCGCATTATGTTTGTTTTTGTTTTTTTTACGAGAATCTCAACATTTTGTTTTTATTATGGGTGTACACAAATAAAAGTAGACATTTAACAGTTTTGAATAATATATAACACTTATATGTATGATAAAAATCGACTGAGTTATTTGAGTCTCTTTTGCACTGATAAGAAAAAAAGCGAGTCTATCACGCCAGCCCCACGGCCGACCCCTGGGGTATAAATAACCGCTGATGATGACATCATTGTGTAACGAGGTTAGATGTTTTAGGAAGAAGGAGGCGAGAACCGGCGATCATTCAACAATTTTAATAATAAATAAATAAACACGAAAGTAAAGACGGCAGTCCCTCACGGTCGACTGCCGCCACACACAATAAAACAAAACATTAAATAAAATAGTCCAGGCCTGGCCGCTCTCAATCTCCACTGTCGTCACTCCTCCTTTTATGCTTCCGCTTCCGTTAAGTTTCTCTCGTACTGGTGTAGTGCACGACTGGATGCACGGTCGATAACGCCACTTTAGGAAGATAGTCAGGGTGAGGGTGCAAAATAGCTTTGACCAGTCTAGGGGCAGAGTCTAAGCAGGATGGCGAAATTGACAGGGCCTGCAAATCCCCAATTATCTTTAGTTAAGTAATGGCCATGAAATAAACCATCTTTAGAGTCATAAGCTTGTCAAGCGCTGTCTCTAGTGGTTCAAAAAGGGGTCTCAACTAGCCCCTCAAGGACTATGGCCAAGTCCCATGAGGGGATCTTTGCTCTAATGCCTCAGCTAAATCTGGGCCCTGGTTGACACAAATCCTGGTTGACCAACAAGGCGCCATCAATATGAGACAGGACCCTTGTTGATGGACCTTGGCCAGGAGTCCCGGCAGCAGACCAATAGATGGAAATTCATAAAGACACAGTCTTGGCCACGCATGGACCATGGCATCCAGCCCAAGGGGGCTGGGTAATTCAAAGAGAAGTAGAGGGGAAGCAGGTTTTCTTGTGAAGCGAAAAGGTCTACTTCTACTTCATAAAATATTCCCAAATCTGTTTGACTACCTAAGGGTGACGTTTCCATTCCCTGTGTGTCACAGCCTGACAGAAAGTCTGCTCCCACATTGAAATGCCCAGGGGTGTAAATCGCCCTGAGGGACAGGAACATGTCCTGAGTCCAAAGCAGAACCTGCTGCGCTATCCTGTTCAGATTTATGTAGGCAACTACCATAGTGTTGTCCACCCGCACTAGGATATGGTAGCCCCTTAACTTTTGGAGGAAGTACTTTAGGGTCAGACATACAGCCATCAATTCGTGGTAATTGATGTGCCAATCGAGACGATGACCTCTCCAGATCCCTTGGGCTGGACGTCCATCTGCGACCGCACCTCAGCCCATGCGGGAAGCGTCTAACGTTAGCATCTTGCAACGACAATACATGGCTAGAGTAGGACCCAAGGTGAGGAATCGGGGTCTGAGCCACATAGAAAGGGTACGAAGCCCGCAGCATGTAGCCCTTACCATAAACATGAATTTTAGAAAGTGCACGAAGCACTCAGCATGTGTGCTTACCATAAACATGGATTTTAGAAAGGGCACATGAAAATGTCAATTTCATCTTAATTCTATTGTTCAACCAAACGGTCTATGTGTACACTGTGTATTCTGCCAGAAATGTCACCCCCTTGCCCTTAAATATTTTTTGGCCAAAGAAGCTTGAGAAATTTTCATTGTCAGTATTTTCCTGTTGAGATATTTTCATTGTCAGTATTGTCCTGTGCTAGCAAGAAATACTCTCTTTTTTTCACATACAGAATATGGTAAGAAAATTGTCACGACGCGCACACTAAAGGTTAGATCCAAGTGCAGTGGTTTTATTGAGGTAATCCAAAATCGTAATCAGCCAGGCAAAGGGTCAAAATCCATATAACAGTCCAAAAAACAAGAAACAAAACATGACAAGAACTCTGCGGTGCGAATGACATTAAAGGGTTAGTTCACCCAAAAATGAAAATTAAGTCATTAATTACTCACCCCCATGCTGTACCAACCCCGTAAGACCTTCGTTCATCTTCGGAACACAAATGAAGATATTTTTGATTAAATCTGAGAGGTGGATCACTGCTACATAGGCTGCCTAAGGGAATGAAACATGACGGCCCAGAAAGTCATTAAAGAAAATGTTTAAATATTCCATGTGCCTACAGTGGCTCAACTATAAGTTTATCAAGCGACGAGACTACTTTTCTCAGTTCTCGCGCATGCGTCGTGGAAATCTCTTGAACTCTCGTCTCAGGCCCACAAGGAAGTAATGGAATAGTCGAATAAAGTCGTTATTTATGGGGTTTTTTCGCACAAAAAGTATTCTCGTCGCTTGATAAACTTATAGTTGAGCCACTGTAGGCACATGGAATATTTAAACATTTTCTTTAATGACTTTCTGGGACGTCAAGTTTCATTCCCTTAGGCAGCCTATGTAGCAGTGATCCACCTCTCAGATTTAATAAAAAATATCTTCATTTGTGTTCCGAAGATGAACGAAGGTCTTACGGGGTTGGTACAGCATGGGGGTGAGTAATTAATGACTTAATTTTCATTTTTGGGTGAACTAACCCTTTAAACAAGGAGTCGATGACAATCACAGAAACAAACAGGGTATATACACACAGATACTAACAAGGTGATGGGAAACAGCTGTGTGCAATAATCAATGAGTGACAAAACAGGATGATGGGAAATGTAGTCTGAGTGAAGGACACCGTGGTGGAAGAGGACCTCTGGTGGATCCCCAGGGAAACACAAACCAGACACTGTGACAAAAATAAAGCATATTAGCCTAGGTTGTCTTATTTTAGAAAATTGCTGCTATGGGCGGCTTCTCATGCAGCAAATTTAAATTTAAAGTATATATAATTTATAATATATAAAAATAATTTGGGGCCCGATCAGCCTTACAGTGCCCGTGCCTAGCAATCTATGTCACATAGAGGTAACATAATTAATTCTCTGTTTTGTATTTTTTTGCACATTTTTCCTTATTTTATAAGGTTGTTACCCCAAATGTCCCTCTGGACATCCTTACTTTGATGAGGATACAATGAAATGTGTTAAAAGTGAGCAATGTGGCTGCTATGATAAACAGGGGAAACATTACAGCAATCATGAGAGAGTTCCTTCAACAGAAAACTGTCAAAAATGGTATGCTTTCATTTCATGTCAAGAATTTCAGCCCACTGTCATACAATATAGTTTTAATTTTAAAATGGTTTATTCTATAGCTATTGCGATTCCATGGAGATCAACTGCAAATACAATGCAACAGGTAAGAAAAAAATATTTACACCTCTGGTTTCTTCTATCTTTAATTAGGCACTTTACTGGTTAAGTAAATGACTTTATTCCCAAATTTGCAGCTTGCACCTGCATATTCAAAGGGAAAAAATATCCATATGGTGATACAATATACAATACTACAGATGGACTTGGCAGCTGCATGACAGCTGTCTGTGAAGAACATGGAATAATTAAAAAAGATTCATACACTTGTCAAACATCTCATCCAACAACAACCTATAGTTCAACTCCTATATTTGACTTCTCCAGTAAAACAACAGGTAACTATTATACTACTATCTTCTCAAGTGCAAAAAGTTTAGTCTTTATAGTTATGTCTCCCTGAGTTAAAGGGTTAGTTCACCCAAAAATGAAAATTCTGTCAGTAATTACTCACCCTCATGTCCAACCCCGTAATACTTTTGTTCATCTTCGAAACACAAATTAAGATATTTTTGATTAAATCTGAGTGCTGTCTCACTCCTCCATAGGCTTCTATGTAATTGAAACTTGCCGGCCCATAAAGTTAGTAAAGACATTGTTAAAATAGTCCAAGTGACTACAGTGGCTCAAACATAAGTTTATCAAGCGATGAGAATACGATGAGAAGCGATTTAAACGAATAACTATTAATTTTCTTCTGTGTGGGCCTCTGAGTGAGTTCACGTAGTGTAACAGCATAGCGCTTCTGGGTTGTACCTCAGAACGTAGGCTCACTATTGGCCGACGCTGGTCATGTGTGTGATGCGTGTGATGCTGGCCAAAAGTGAGCCTACGTTTTGACAGTAAAATGGTCAAATGGTTCCTTAAAATGTACCGTACAGTTTACCATCCACGGTGTTTGTGAGTCATTCACCAATCATGAGGCTTGAGAAAGCAGATGCTGCATCACTGCTTGCAATTCATTGCAGCAAACGGCTTAATGATTGTTAAAGTGTCATAAAGTGTAATTGTTTTAATCATCTTTGTATAATAAAGTGTTCTTATTACATTAAATATTTTAATTTTGAATATATTATTGCAGAGACAACTGTTCCAGCCAAATACACTGTGGAAACTTTTCCAACAAAGACCTTATTTTCATTCAGTACATCCACCACTACTACAAGCATATCTACAACTCCAAAAACAACAACTTCTACTTCTACACCTTCACCAAGTTTGTCAATTAGCACGCCTATACCACCAACAGTTCAAAAATCCTACACTGTTACTAGCAAATCAACACCTCTGTCAACAAAAGCATTTACTACAAGTGCCTCAACAGCTTCTCCAACATCCACAACATTGAAAACAACCACTCTTACTCCTAACCCTGGATGTATTTGCCATTGGTCAGATTGGAACGACTTTGGTACCCCAACAACAGGTCCTGGAGGTGGTGAAGTCGTACCTATTGAAAGAATAACTATTACCTCTCCTAGGATATGTTCAGCACTAAAGGAAGTAGAATGCCGTGCAAAACGTTATCCTGGAGTTCCTCTTTCACAGCTTGGCCAGGTTGTGAAATGCAATATGAAAGATGGACTAGTTTGCTTGAACAAACACCAAGGCCTTGCACAGCAATGCTATGACTATGAGATTAGAGCATTCTGTTGTGATGAAAACTGTGGCAACAACACAACACAGTCCTTAAGTACAGCTGCTACAACAATGTCAACAACAAGCATACATCTACCACCAAATATGACATCAGCAGGTTTCCCTGCTGTTACAAGCATCACAAAGGATTATTCAACAAATTCTGCTGGTACACCTTCACCAACATTTTCAAACAGCATGCCTACACCACCAACTATAACATCAACAAGCAATATTTCATTCACAAGAATAAGCATATCAACAACTACAGCACCAACTTCCACAATGATTTCTGCCATGCCTTCAGTTTCTTCAACAAGCAGATTTACACCAAAAGTTACTACACCAACAGTCCAGAGTTCCCCTACGGGTAAAAGCATACCCACAAATTCAAACATATCTACACCTTCACCAATGTTGTCAAATGGCATGACTACTTCACTAAATGAAACATCTTCAGTCCAGAATTCCTCCAGTATTACAAGCATGTCTACAACACAAACATCTACAACTCCATCAACAACTTCTCCAACATCCACAACATTGAAAACAAGCATCTCTACTCTTAGCCCTGGATGTAATTGTCATTGGTCAGATTGGAACGACTTTGATGGCCCAACAGCAGGTCTTGAAGGGGGTGAAATAGTACCAATTGAAAGAATAACTGACACCTCTCCTAGCATCTGCTCAGCACTAAAGGACATACAATGCCGTGCAAAACGTTATCCTGGAGTTCCTCTTACACAGCTTGGCCAGGTTGTGAAATGCAATACAAAAGATGGACTAGTTTGCTTGAACAAACACCAAGGTTTTGCACAGCAATGCTATAACTATGAGATTAGAGCACTGTGTTGTGATGAAAACTGTGGCAACATCACAACACAGTCCTTAAGTACAGCTGCTACAAAGATGTCACCAACAAGCATATATCTACCACCAAGTACAACATCAGCAGTCCAAAGTTCCTCCACAGTTACAAGCATACTAACAGATTCATCAACAACAATATCTGCTGGTTCACCTTCACCAACTTATTCAAACAGCATGCTTACACGACTAACTACGACATCAAAAAGCCAAATTTCCACCACAAGCATAAGCATATCAACAAATACAGCAGCAACTTCCACAATAATTTCTGCCAAACCTTCAATGTCTTCAACAAGCAGATTCACACTAATTGTTACTACATCAACAGTTCACAGTTCCACTATTGGTAAAAGCATACCCTCAACTCCAACAATGTCTACACCTCCACCAACGTTTTCAACTGGCATGACTACATCACTGAATGAAACATCTACAGTGAAGAATTTCTCCAGTATTACAAGCATGTCTACAACTCCAGCAATACAAACATCTACAACTCCATCAATGACTTCTCCAACACCCACAACATTGAAAACACGCATCCCTACTCTTAGCCCTGGATGTAATTGTCATTGGACAGATTGGAAGAACTTTGGTGGCCCAACAATAGGTTTTGAAGGTGGTGAAATAGTACCGATTGAAAGAATAACTGACACCTCTCTTAGCATCTGCACAGCACTAAAGGACGTTCAATGCCGTGCAAAACGTTATCCTGGAGTTCCTCTTACACAGCTTGGCCAGGTTGTGAAATGCAATACGAAAGATGGACTAGTTTGCTTGAACAAACACCAAGGCCTTGCACAGCAATGCTATAACTATGAGATAAGAGCATTGTGTTGTGATGAAAACTGTGGAAGCAGCACAACACAGTCCTTAAGTTCAGCTGCTACAACAATGTTATCAACAAGCATACATCTACCACCAAGTACAACATCAGCAGTCCAAAGTTCCTCCACAGTTACAAACATACTAACAGACTCCTCAACAACAATTTCTGCTAGTACACCTTCAAAAATATTCTCAAACAGCATGCCTACACCACCAACTATGACATTAACAAGCCATATTTCCACCACAAGCATAAGCATATCAACAACTACAGCAGCAACTTCCACAATACTTTTTACCAAACCTTCAATTTCTTCAACAAGCAGATTAACATTAAGTGTTACAACACCAACAGTTCATAGTTCCCATACTGGTAAAAGCATACCTACAACTCCAACAACAATGTCTACAGCTTCTCCAACATTTTCAACTTGCATGACTACACTGCCGACTGAAAAATCTTCAGTCCAGAATTCCTCTAATATTACAAATATGTCTACAACTCCAACATTACAAACATCTACAACTCCATCAATGACTTCTCCAACATCCACAACATTGAAAACAAGCAACCCTACTCTTAGCCCTGGATGTAATTGCAATTGGTCAGTTTGGAACGACTTTGGTGGCCCAACAATAGGTATTGACGGTGGTGAAATAGTATCTATTGAAATAATAACTGACACCTCTCTTAGCATCTGCCCAGCACTAAGGGACGTACAATGTCGTGCAAAACGTTATCCTGGAGTTCCTCTTACACAGCTTGGCCAGGTTGTGAAATGCAATACGAAAGATGGACTAGTTTACTTAAACAAACACCAAGGACTTGCACAGCAATGCTATGACTATGAGATTAGAGCATTGTGTTGTGATGAAAACTGTGGGAACCTCACAACACAGTCCTTAAGTACAGCTGTTGTAACGATGTCATCAACAAGCATGCGTGTATCACCAAATACATCAGCGGTCCAGAGTTCCTCCACCATTAAAGGAATATCAACAGATTCATTAACAACAATTTCTGCTAGTACACCTTCAACTTTTTTAAACAGCATTTCTACACCACTAACTACGACATCAAAAAGCCATATTTCCACCACAAGCATAAGCATATCAACAACTACAGCAGCAACTTCCACAATACTTTCTTCCAAACCTTCAATTTCTTCAACAAGCAGATTAACATTAAGTGTTACAACACCAACAGTTCATAGTTCCCCTACTGGTAAACGCATACCCACAACTCCAACAATGTCTACAGCTTCTCCAACATTTTCAACTGGCATGACTACACTGCCGACTGAAAAATCTTCAGTCCAGAATTCCTCTAATATTACAAATATGTCTACAACTCCAACATTACAAACATCTACAACTCCATCAATGACTTCTCCAACATCCACAACATTGAAAACAAGCAACCCTACTCTTGGCCCTGGATGTAATTGCAATTGGTCAGTTTGGAACGACTTTGGTGGCCCAACAATAGGTATTGACGGTGGTGAAATAGTATCTATTGAAAGAATAACTGACACCTCTCTTAACATCTGCCCTGCACTAAGGGACGTACAATGTCGTGCAAAACGTTATCCTGGAGTTCCTCTTACACAGCTTGGCCAGGTTGTGAAATGCAATACGAACGATGGACTAGTTTGCTTAAACAAACACCAAGGACTCGCACAGCAATGCTATGACTATGAGATTAGAGCATTGTGTTGTGATGAAAACTGTGGGAACCTCACAACACAGTCCTTAAGTACAGCTGCTGTAACGATGTCATCAACAAGCATGCGTGTATCCCCAAACACATCAGCGGTCCAGAGTTCCTCCACCATTAAAGGAATATCAACAGATTCATTAGCAACAATTTCTGCTAGTACACCTTCAACTTTTTTAAATAGCTTGCCTACACCACTAACTACGACATCAAAAAGCCATATTTCCACCACAAGCATAAGCATATCAACAACTACAGCAAAAACTTCCACATTAATTTCTGCCAAACCTTCAATTTCTTTAACAAGCAGATTTATACTAAATGTTACAACACCTACAGTCCAGAGTTCCCCTACTGGCAAAAGAATACCCACATCTCCAAGAACATTGTCTACACCTTCACCGACGTTTTCAACTGGCATGACTACATCATTGAATGAAACATCTTCAGTCCAGAATTCCTCCAGTATTACAAGCATGTCTACAACACAAACATCTACAACTCCATCAATGACTTCTCCAACACCCACAACATTGAAAACAAGCATTCCTACTCTTAGTCCTAGATGTAATTGTCATTGGACAGATTGGAAGGACTTTGGTGGCCCAACAACAGGTTTTGAAGGTGGTGAAATAGTACCGATTGAAAGAATAACTGACACCTCTCTTAGCCTCTGCACAGCACTAAAGGACGTTCAATGCCGTGCAAAACGTTATCCTGGAGTTCCTATTACACAGCTTGGCCAGGTTGTAAAATGCAATATGAAAGATGGACTAGTTTGCTTGAACAAACACCAAGGCCTTGCACAGCAATGCTATAACTATGAGATTAGAGCATTGTGTTGTGATGAAAACTGTGGTAACAGCACAACACAGTCCTTAAGTTCAGCTGCTACAATGATGTCATCAACAAGCATACATCTACCACCAAGTAAAACATCAGCGGTCCAAAGTTCCTCCACAGTTACAAACATACTAACAGACTCCTCAACAGCAATTTCTGCCAGTACACCTTTAAAAATATTCTCAAACAGTATGCCTACACCACCAACTACGACATCAACAAGCAATATTTCCTCCACAAACGTAAGCATATCAACGACTACAGCAGCAACTTCCACAATAATTTCTAACAAACCTTCAATTTCTTCAACAAGTAGATTAACGCTAAATGTTACAACACCAACAGTTCATAGTTCCCCAACTGGTAAAAGCATACCCACCACTCCAACAACAATGTCTACAGCTTCTCCAACATTTTCAACTGCTATGACTACACCACTGACTGAAAAATCTTCAGTCCAGAATTCCTCTAATATTACAAATATGTCTACAACTCCAACATTACAAACATCTACAACTCCATCAATTACTTCTGCAACATCTACAACATTGAAAACAAGCATCCCCAATCTTAGCCCTGGATGTAATTGTCATTGGTCAGATTGGAACGAATTTGGTCGCCCAACAACAGGTTTTGAAGGTGGTGAAATAGTACCTATTGAAATAATTACTGACACCTCTCTTAGCATCTGCCCAACACTAAAGGACGTTCAATGCCGTGCAAAACGTTATCCTGGAGTTCCTATTACACAGCTTGGCCAAGTTGTGAAATGCAATACGAAAGATGGACTGGTTTGCTTGAACAAACACCAAGGCCTTGCACAGCAATGCTATGACTATGAGATTAGAGCATTGTGTTGTGATGAAAACTGTGGGAACCTCACAACACAGTCTTTAAATACAGCTGCTACAACGATGTCATCAACAAGCATGCGTGTATCACCAAATACATCAGCGGTCCAAAGTTCCTCCACCATTAAAGGAATATCAACAGATTCATCAACAACAATTTCTCCTATTATACCTTCAACTTTTTTAAACAGCCTGCCTACACCAATAACTACGACATCAAGAAGCCATATTTCCACCACTAGCATAAGCATATCAACAATTACAGCAACAACTTCCACAAAAATTTCTACCAAACCTTCACTTTCTTCAACAAGCAGATTCACACTAAATGGTATTAAACCAACAGTCCACAGTTCCCCTACTGGTAAAAGCATACCCACAACTCCAACAATGTCTACACCTTCACCAACGTTTACAACTGGCATGACTACATCACTGAATGAAATATCTTCAGTCCAGAATTTCTCCAGTATTACAAGCATGTCTACAAATACAACTCCAACAACACAAACATCTACACATCCATCAATGACTTCTCCAACATCCATAACATTGAAAACAAGCATCCCTACTCTTAGCACTGGGTGTAATTGCCATTGGTCAGATTGGAACAACTTTGGTGGCCCAACAAAAGGCCTTGAAGGTGGTGAAATAGTATCTATTGAAAGAATATATGACAACTCTCCCAGCATCTGCCCAGTACTAAAGGACATACAATGCCGTGCAAACAGTTATCCTGGAGTTCCTCTTTCACAGCTTGGACAGGTTGTAAAATGCAATACGAAAGATGGACTAATTTGCTTGAACAAATACCAAGGCCTTACACAGCAATGCTATGACTATGAGATTAGAGCACTGTGTTGTGATGAAAACTGTGGGAACCTCACAACACAGTCTTTAAGTACAGCTGCTTCACCAATGTCATCAACAAGCATGCGTGTATCACCAAATACATCAGCGGTCCAAACTTCCTCCACCTTTAACGGCATATCAACAGATTCATCAGCAACTATTTCTGCTGGTACTCCTTCACCAACTTCTTCAAACAGCATGTCTACACCACTAACTACGACATCAACAAGGCAAATTTCCTACACAAACATAAGTATATCAACAACTAGAGCAGCAACAACTTCCACAATAATTTCCGCCAAACTTTCAACTTCTTCAACAAGTAGATTAACACTAAATGTTACAACACCAACAGTTCATAGTTCCCCAACTGGTAAAAGCATACCCACAACTCCAACAACAATGTCTACAGCTTCTCCAACATTTTCAACTGGCAGGACTACACCACTAACTGAAAAATCTTCAGTCCAGAATTTCTCTAATATTACAAATATGTCTTCAACACCAACATTACAAACATCTACAACTCCATCAATGACTTCTCCAACATCCACAACAATGAAAACAAGCAACCCTACTCTTAGCCCTGGATGTAATTGTCATTGGTCAGATTGGAAAGACTTTGGTGGCCCAACAACAGGTCTTGATGGTGGTGAAATAATATCTGTTGAAAGAATAACGAAAACCTCCGCTATCATCTGCTTGGCATTAAAGGAAGTACAATGCCGTGCAAAAAATTATCCTGGAGTTCCTATTTCACTGCTTGGACAAGTTGTGAAATGCAATACGAAAGATGGACTAGTTTGCATGAACAAACACCAAGGGCTTGTACAGCAATGTTATGACTATGAGATTAGAGCACTGTGTTGTGATGAAAACTGTGGCAACATCACAACAAATTCCTTAACTACAGCTACTAAAACAATATCATCAACAAGCATACATATACCACCAAGTACGACATCAACGGGCCAAAGTTCCTCCACTGTTATAGGCATATTTACAGATCCATCAACAACAATTTCTACTGCTACACCTTCATCAACTTTTTCAACTAGCATGCCTACACCACCAACTAAGACACCAACAAATCTTATTTCCTCAAAAAGTACAAGCAAATCAACAACTTCTGTAACAACGTCAACAGTGTTTTCTTCAATACCTTCAGTGTCTTCCACAAGCAGGTTGACACAACAATTTACCACACCAAAAGTCCAGAGTTCCCCTACTGGTAAAATCATATCCACAACTCCAATAAAAATCTCTACAGGTACACCTTCAACATTGTTTTCACATAGTGTAACTACTACACCACCGACAACAACATCAACAAGCTTTATTTCTTACACAAGTAAAAGCATATCAACTACTTTAACAAAGTTTTCTGCTACACCGTCCATTTCTGTAACAAACAGGTTTACACAAGTTACAACACCAACAGTCCAGAGTTCCCCCACTGGTAAAAGCATTTTCATAACTCCAACAGTAATTTCTACTGGTGCGCCTTTCCAATTGTTTTCAACTGGCATGACTGCACCACTGACTAAAACACCAACAATCCAGAATTCCTCCAATACTACAAGCATGACAACACAATCCTTATCTACAACAGCTACAAGGATGTCAACAACAAGCATGCGTACAACACCAACTACAACATCAACAGTGCATAGTTCCCCCACCGTTACAAGCATATCCACAAATACGTCAACAACTTTTTCTGCTGGTACACCTTCACCAACTTTTTCAACCAATATGCCTGCACAACCAACAATGACACCATTAAGCCTCATTTCCTCCACAAGTAAAATCATGTCAACAAGTACAGTCACAACTTCAACAAAATTTTTTGCTAGACCTTCAATATCTTCAACAAGCAGGTTTACAAATCAAGTTACAACAACAGCAGTCCAGAGTTCCCCCACTGGTAAAAGTATACCCACAACTCCAACAACAATGTCAACACATTCTCCAACATTTTCAACTGGCAGGACTACACCACTGACTGAAAAATCTTCAGTCCAGAATTCCTCTAATATTACAACTATGTCTTCAACTCCAATATTACAAACATCTACAACTCCATCAACGACTTCTCCAACATACACAACAATGAAAACAAGCACCCTTACACTTAACACTGGATGTAATTGTCATTGGTCAGATTGGAACGACTTTGGTGGCCCAACAACAGGTCTTGATGGTGGTGAAATAGTATCTATTGAAAGAATATATGACACCTCTGCTACCATCTGCTCAGCACTGAAGGAAGTACAATGCCGTGCAAAACGTTATCCTGGAGTTCCTCTTTCACAGCTTGGACAGGTTGTGAAATGCAATACGAACGATGGACTAGTTTGCTTGAACAAACACCAAGGCCTTGTACAGCAATGTTATGACTATGAGATTAGAACATTGTGTTGTGATGAAAACTGTGGCAACATCACAACAAATTCCTTAACTACAGCTGCTACAACAATATCATCAACAAGCATACATATACCACCAAGTACGACATCAACGGGCCAAAGTTCCTCCACTGTTATAGGCATATTTACAGATCCATCAACAACAATTTCTACTGCTACACCTTCATCAACTTTTTCAACTAGCATGCCTACACCACCAACTAAGACACCAACAAATCTTATTTCCTCAAAAAGTACAAGCAAATCAATAACTTCTGTAACAACGTCAACAATGTTTTCTTCAATACCTTCAGTGTCTTCCACAAGCAGGTTGACACAACAATTTACCACACCAAAAGTCCAGAGTTCCCCTACTGGTAAAACCATATCCACAACTCCAATAAGAATCTCTACAGGTACACATTCAACATTGTTTTCACCTGGCATAACTACTACACCACCGGCAACAACATCAACAAGCTTTATTTCTTACACAAGTAAAAGCATATCAACTACTTCAACAAAGTTTTCTGCTACACCGTCCATTCCTGTAACAAACAGGTTTACACAAGTTACAACACCAACAGTCCAGAGTTCCCCCACTGGTAAAAGCATTTTCACAACTCCAACAGTAATTTCTACTGGTGCGCCTTTCCAATTGTTTTCAACTGGCATGACTGCACCACTGACTAAAACACCAACAATCCAGAATTCTTCCAATACTACAAGCATGACAACACAATCCTTATCTACAACAGCTACAAGGATGTCATCAACAAGCATGCGTACAACACCAACTACAACATCAACAGTACGTAGTTCCCCCACCGTTACAAGCATATCCACAAATACGTCAACAACAATTTCTGCTGGTACGCCTTCACCAACTTTTTCAACCAATATGCCTGCACAACCAACAATGACACAATTAAGCCTCATTTCCTCCACAAGTAAAATCATGTCAACAAGTACAGCCACAACTTCAACAATATATTCTGCTAGACCTTCAATATCTTCAACAAGCAGGTTTACAAAACAAGTTACATCAACAACAGTCCAGAGTTCCCCCACTGGTAAAAGTATACCCACAACTCCAACAACAATGTCTACACATTCTCCAACATTTTCAACGGGCAGGACTACACCACTGACTGAAAAATCTTCCTTCCAGAATTCCTCTGATATTACAAATATGTCGTCACCTCCAACATTACAAACATCTACAACCCCATCAATGACTGCTCCAACATCCACAACAATGAAAACAAGCATCCTTACTCTTAATCCTGGATGTAATTGTCATTGGTCAGATTGGAACGACTTTGGTGGCCCAACAACAGGTCTTGATGGTGGTAAAATAGTATCTATTGAAAGAATATATGACACCTCTGCTACCATCTGCTCAGCACTGAAGGAAGTACAATGCCGTGCAAAACGTTATCCTGGAGTTCCTCTTTCACAGCTTGGACAGGTTGTGAAATGCAATACGAACGATGGACTAGTTTGCTTGAACAAACACCAAGGCCTTGTACAGCAATGTTATGACTATGAGATTAGAGCATTGTGTTGTGATGAAAACTGTGGCAACATCACAACAAATTCCTTAACGACATCAACAGGCCAAAGTTCCTCCACCGTTATAGGCATATTTACAGATCCATCAACAACAATTTCTACTGCTACACCTACACCAACCTTTTCAACTAGCATGCCTACACCACCAACTAAGACACCAACAAATCTTATTTCCTCAAAAAGTACAAGCAAATCAACAACTTCTTTAACATCGTCAACAATGTTTTCTTCAATACCTTCAGTGTCTTCCACAAGCAGGTTGACACAACAATTTACCACACCAAAAGTCCAGAGTTCCTCTACTGGTAAAACCATATCCACATCTCCAATAAAAATCTCTTCAGGTACACCTTCAACATTGTTTTTACCTGGCGTAACTACTACACCATCGACAATAACATCAACAAGCTTTATTTCTTACACAAGTAACAGCATATCAACTACTTCAACAAAGTTTTCTCCTACACCGTCCATTTCTGTAACAAACAGGTTTACACAAGTTACAACACCAATAGTCCAGAGTTCCCCCACTGGTAAAAGCATTTTCACAACTCCAACAGTAATTTCTACTGGTGCGCCTTTCCAATTGTTTTCAACTGGCATGACTGCACCACTGACTAAAACACCAACAATCCAGAATTCCTCCAATACTACAAGCATGACAACACAATCCTTATCTACAACAGCTACAAGGATGTCATCAACAAGCATGCGTACAACACCAACTACAACATCAACAGTGCATAGTTCCCCCACCGTTACAAGCATATCCACAAATACGTCAACAACTTTTTCTGCTGGTACACCTTCACCAACCTTTTCAACCAATATGCCTGCACAACCAACAATGACACAATTAAGCCTCATTTCCTCCACAAGTAAAATCATGTCAACAAGTACAGTCACAACTTCAACAAAATTTTTTGCTAGACCTTCAATATCTTCAACAAGCAGGTTTACAAATCAAGTTACAACAACAGCAGTCCAGAGTTCCCCCACTGGTAAAAGTATACCCACAACTCCAACAACAATGTCAACACATTCTCCAACATTTTCAACTGGCTGGACTACACCACTGACTGAAAAATCTTCAGTCCAGAATTCCTCTAATATTACAAATATGTCTTCAACTCCAACATTACAAACATCTACAACTCCATCAACGACTGCTCCAACACCCACAACAATGAATACAATCACCCTTACTCTTAATCCTGGATGTAATTGTCATTGGTCAGATTGGAACGACTTTGGTGGCCCAACAACAGGTCTTGATGGTGGTGAAATAGTATCTATTGAAAGAATATATGACACCTCTGCTACCATCTGCTCAGCACTGAAGGAAGTACAATGCCGTGCAAAACGTTATCCTGGAGTTCCTCTTTCCCAGCTTGGCCAGGTTGTGATTTGCAATACGAACGATGGACTAGTATGCTTGAACAAACACCAAGGCCTTGTACAGCAATGTTATGACTATGAGATTAGAGCACTGTGTTGTGATGAAAACTGTGGCAACATCACAACAAATTCCTTAACTACAGCTGCTACAACAATATCATCAACAAGCATACATATACCACCAAGTACGACATCAACGGGCCAAAGTTCCTCCACTGTTATAGGCATATTTACAGATCCATCAACAACAATTTCTACTGCTACACCTTCACCAACCTTTTCAACTAGCATGCCTACACCACCAACTAAGACACCAACAAATCTTATTTCCTCAAAAAGTACAAGCAAATCAACAACTTCTGTAACAACGTCAACAATGTTTTCTTCAATACCTTCAGTGTCTTCCACAAGCAGGTTGACACAACAATTTACCACACCAAAAGTCCAGAGTTCATCTACTGGTAAAACCATATCCACATCTCCAATAAAAATCTCTTCAGGTACACCTTCAACATTGTTTTCACCTGGCCTAACTACTACACCATCGACAATAACATCAACAAGCTTTATTTCTTACACAAGTAACAGCATATCAACTACTTCAACAAAGTTTTCTCCTACACCGTCCATTTCTGTAACAAACAGGTTTACACAAGTTACAACACCAATAGTCCAGAGTTCCCCCACTGGTAAAAGCATTTTCACAACTCCAACAGTAATTTCTACTGGTGCGCCTTTCCAGTTGTTTTCAACTGGCATGACTGCACCACTGACTAAAACACCAACAATCCAGAATTCCTCCAATACTACAAGCATGACAACACAATCCTTATCTACAACAGCTACAAGGATGTCATCAACAAGCATGCGTACAACACCAACTACAACATCAACAGTGCATAGTTCCCCCACCGTTACAAGCATATCCACAAATACGTCAACAACAATTTCTGCTGGTACACCTTCACCAACTTTTTCAACCAATATGCCTGCACAACCAACAATCACACCATTAAGCCTCATTTCCTCCACAAGTAAAATCATGTCAACAAGTACAGCCACAACTTCAACAATATATTCTGCTAGACCTTCAATATCTTCAACAAGCAGGTTTACAAAACAAGTTACATCAACAACAGTCCAGAGTTCCCCCACTGGTAAAAGTATACCCACAACTCCAACAACAATGTCTACACATTCTCCAACATTTTCAACGGGCAGGACTACACCACTGACTGAAAAATCTTCCTTCCAGAATTCCTCTAATATTACAAATATGTCTTCAACTCCAACATTACAAACATCTACAACTCCATCAATGACTGCTCCAACATCCACAACAATGAAAACAAGCATCCTTACTCTTAATCCTGGATGTAATTGTCATTGGTCAGATTGGAACGACTTTGGTGGCCCAACAACAGGTCTTGATGGTGGTGAAATAGTATCTATTGAAAGAATATATGACACCTCTGCTACCATCTGCTCAGCACTGAAGGAAGTACAATGCCGTGCAAAACGTTATCCTGGAGTTCCTCTTTCACAGCTTGGACAGGTTGTGAAATGCAATACGAACGATGGACTAGTTTGCTTGAACAAACACCAAGGCCTTGTACAGCAATGTTATGACTATGAGATTAGAGCATTGTGTTGTGATGAAAACTGTGGCAACATCACAACAAATTCCTTAACTACAGCTGCTACAACAATATCATCAACAAGCATACATATACCACCAAGTACGACATCAACAGGCCAAAGTTCCTCCACCGTTATAGGCATATTTACAGATCCATCAACAACAATTTCTACTGCTACACCTTCACCAACCTTTTCAACTAGCATGCCTACACCACCAACTAAGACACCAACAAATCTTATTTCCTCAAAAAGTACAAGCAAATCAACAACTTCTGTAACAACGTCAACAATGTTTTCTTCAATACCTTCAGTGTCTTCCACAAGCAGGTTGACACAACAATTTACCACACCAAAAGTCCAGAGTTCCCCTACTGGTAAAACCATATCCACAACTCCAATAAAAATCTCTACAGGTACACCTTCGACATTGTTTTCACCTGGTGTAACTACTACACCACCGACAACAACATCAACAAGCTTTATTTCTTACACAAGTAAAAGCATATCAACTACCTCAACAAAGTTTTCTCCTACACCGTCCATTTCTGTATCAAACAGGTTTACACAAGTTACAACATCAACAGTCCAGAGTTCCCCCACTGGTAAAAGCATTTTCACAACTCCAAAAGTAATTTCTACTGGTGCGCCTTTCCAATTGTTTTCAACTGGCATGACTGCACCACTGACTAAAACACCAACAATCCAGAATTCCTCCAATACTACAAGCATGACAACACAATCCGTATCTACAACAGCTACAAGGATGTCATCCACAAGCATGCGTACAACACCAACTACAACATTAACAGTGCATAGTTCCCCCACCGTTACAAGCATATCCACAAATACGTCAACAACAATTTCTGCTGGTACACCTTCACCAACTTTTTCAACCAATATGCCTGCACAACCAACAATGACACCATTAAGCCTCATTTCCTCCACAAGTAAAATCATGTCAACAAGTACAGCCACAACTTCAACAATATATTCTGCTAGACCTTCAAAATCTTCAACAAGCAGGTTTACAAAACAAGTTACATCAACAACAGTCCAGAGTTCCCCCACTGGTAAAAGTATACCCACAACTCCAACAACAATGTCTACACATTCTCCAACATTTTCAACGGGCAGGACTACACCACTGACTGAAAAATCTTCCTTCCAGAATTCCTCTAATATTACAAATATGTCTTCAACTCCAACATTACAAACATCTACAACTCCATCAATGACTGCTCCAACATCCACAACAATGAAAACAAGCATCCTTACTCTTAATCCTGGATGTAATTGTCATTGGTCAGATTGGAACGACTTTGGTGGCCCAACAACAGGTCTTGATGGTGGTGAAATAGTATCTATTGAAAGAATATATGACACCTCTGCTACCATCTGCTCAGCACTGAAGGAAGTACAATGCCGTGCAAAACGTTATCCTGGAGTTCCTCTTTCCCAGCTTGGCCAGGTTGTGATATGCAATACGAACGATGGACTAGTATGCTTGAACAAACACCAAGGCCTTGTACAGCAATGTTATGACTATGAGATTAGAGCACTGTGTTGTGATGAAAACTGTGGCAACATCACAACAAATTCATTAACTACAGCTGCTACAACAATATCATCAACAAGCATACATATACCACCAAGTACGACATCAACGGGCCAAAGTTCCTCCACTGTTATAGGCATATTTACAGATCCATCAACAACAATTTCTACTGCTACACCTTCACCAACCTTTTCAACTAGCATGCCTACACCACCAACTAAGACACCAACAAATCTTATTTCCTCAAAAAGTACAAGCAAATCAACAACTTCTGTAACAACGTCAACAATGTTTTCTTCAATACCTTCAGTGTCTTCCACAAGCAGGTTGACACAACAATTTACCACACCAAAAGTCCAGAGTTCATCTACTGGTAAAATCATATCCACATCTCCAATAAAAATCTCTTCAGGTACACCTTCAACATTGTTTTCACCTGGCCTAACTACTACACCATCGACAATAACATCAACAAGCTTTATTTCTTACACAAGTAACAGCATATCAACTACCTCAACAAAGTTTTCTCCTACACCGTCCATTTCTGTAACAAACAGGTTTACACAAGTTACAACACCAATAGTCCAGAGTTCCCCCACTGGTAAAAGCATTTTCACAACTCCAACAGTAATTTCTACTGGTGCGCCTTTCCAGTTGTTTTCAACTGGCATGACTGCACCACTGACTAAAACACCAACAATCCAGAATTCCTCCAATACTACAAGCATGACAACACAATCCTTATCTACAACAGCTACAAGGATGTCATCAACAAGCATGCGTACAACACCAACTACAACATCAACAGTGCATAGTTCCCCCACCGTTACAAGCATATCCACAAATACGTCAACAACAATTTCTGCTGGTACACCTTCACCAACTTTTTCAACCAATATGCCTGCACAACCAACAATCACACCATTAAGCCTCATTTCCTCCACAAGTAAAATCATGTCAACAAGTACAGCCACAACTTCAACAATATATTCTGCTAGACCTTCAATATCTTCAACAAGCAGGTTTACAAAACAAGTTACTTCAACAACAGTCCAGAGTTCCCCCACTGGTAAAAGTATACCCACAACTCCAACAACAATGTCTACACATTCTCCAACATTTTCAACGGGCAGGACTACACCACTGACTGAAAAATCTTCCTTCCAGAATTCCTCTAATATTACAAATATGTCTTCAACTCCAACATTACAAACATCTACAACTCCATCAATGACTGCTCCAACATCCACAACAATGAAAACAAGCATCCTTACTCTTAATCCTGGATGTAATTGTCATTGGTCAGATTGGAACGACTTTGGTGGCCCAACAACAGGTCTTGATGGTGGTGAAATAGTATCTATTGAAAGAATATATGACACCTCTGCTACCATCTGCTCAGCACTGAAGGAAGTACAATGCCGTGCAAAACGTTATCCTGGAGTTCCTCTTTCACAGCTTGGACAGGTTGTGAAATGCAATACGAACGATGGACTAGTTTGCTTGAACAAACACCAAGGCCTTGTACAGCAATGTTATGACTATGAGATTAGAGCATTGTGTTGTGATGAAAACTGTGGCAACATCACAACAAATTCCTTAACTACAGCTGCTACAACAATATCATCAACAAGCATACATATACCACCAAGTACGACATCAACAGGCCAAAGTTCCTCCACCGTTATAGGCATATTTACAGATCCATCAACAACAATTTCTACTGCTACACCTTCACCAACCTTTTCAACTAGCATGCCTACACCACCAACTAAGACACCAACAAATCTTATTTCCTCAAAAAGTACAAGCAAATCAACAACTTCTGTAACAACGTCAACAATGTTTTCTTCAATACCTTCAGTGTCTTCCACAAGCAGGTTGACACAACAATTTACCACACCAAAAGTCCAGAGTTCCCCTACTGGTAAAACCATATCCACAACTCCAATAAAAATCTCTACAGGTACACCTTCGACATTGTTTTCACCTGGTGTAACTACTACACCACCGACAACAACATCAACAAGCTTTATTTCTTACACAAGTAAAAGCATATCAACTACCTCAACAAAGTTTTCTCCTACACCGTCCATTTCTGTATCAAACAGGTTTACACAAGTTACAACATCAACAGTCCAGAGTTCCCCCACTGGTAAAAGCATTTTCACAACTCCAAAAGTAATTTCTACTGGTGCGCCTTTCCAATTGTTTTCAACTGGCATGACTGCACCACTGACTAAAACACCAACAATCCAGAATTCCTCCAATACTACAAGCATGACAACACAATCCGTATCTACAACAGCTACAAGGATGTCATCCACAAGCATGCGTACAACACCAACTACAACATCAACAGTGCATAGTTCCCCCACCGTTACAAGCATATCCACAAATACGTCAACAACAATTTCTGCTGGTACACCTTCACCAACTTTTTCAACCAATATGCCTGCACAACCAACAATGACACCATTAAGCCTCATTTCCTCCACAAGTAAAATCATGTCAACAAGTACAGCCACAACTTCAACAATATATTCTGCTAGACCTTCAAAATCTTCAACAAGCAGGTTTACAAAACAAGTTACATCAACAACAGTCCAGAGTTCCCCCACTGGTAAAAGTATACCCACAACTCCAACAACAATGTCTACACATTCTCCAACATTTTCAACGGGCAGGACTACACCACTGACTGAAAAATCTTCCTTCCAGAATTCCTCTAATATTACAAATATGTCTTCAACTCCAACATTACAAACATCTACAACTCCATCAATGACTGCTCCAACATCCACAACAATGAAAACAAGCATCCTTACTCTTAATCCTGGATGTAATTGTCATTGGTCAGATTGGAACGACTTTGGTGGCCCAACAACAGGTCTTGATGGTGGTGAAATAGTATCTATTGAAAGAATATATGACACCTCTGCTACCATCTGCTCAGCACTGAAGGAAGTACAATGCCGTGCAAAACGTTATCCTGGAGTTCCTCTTTCACAGCTTGGACAGGTTGTGAAATGCAATACGAACGATGGACTAGTTTGCTTGAACAAACACCAAGGCCTTGTACAGCAATGTTATGACTATGAGATTAGAGCATTGTGTTGTGATGAAAACTGTGGCAACATCACAACAAATTCCTTAACTACAGCTGCTACAACAATATCATCAACAAGCATAAATATACCACCAAGTACGATATCAACAGGCCAAAGTTCCTTCACCGTTATAGGCATATTTACAGATCCATCAACAACAATTTCTACTGCTACACCTTCACCAACCTTTTCAACTAGCATGCCTACACCACCAACTAAGACACCAACAAATCTTATTTCCTCAAAAAGTACAAGCAAATCAACAACTTCTGTAACAACGTCAACAATGTTTTCTTCAATACCTTCAGTGTCTTCCACAAGCAGGTTGACACAACAATTTACCACACCAAAAGTCCAGAGTTCCCCTACTGGTAAAACCATATCCACAACTCCAATAAAAATCTCTACAGGTACACCTTCAACATTGTTTTCACCTGGTGTAACTACTACACCACCGACAACAACATCAACAAGCTTTATTTCTTACACAACTAAAAGCATATCAACTACCTCAACAAAGTTTTCTGCTACACCGTCCATTTCTGTAACAAACAGGTTTACACAAGTTACAACATCAACAGTCCAGAGTTCCCCCACTGGTAAAAGCATTTTCACAACTCCAAAAGTAATTTCTACTGGTTCGCCTTTCCAATTGTTTTCAACTGGCATGACTGCACCACTGACTAAAACACCAACAATCCAGAATTCCTCCAATACTACAAGCATGACAACACAATCCGTATCTACAACAGCTACAAGGATGTCATCAACAAGCATGCGTACAACACCAACTACAACATCAACAGTGCATTGTTCCCCCACCATTACAAGCATATTCACAAATACGTCAACAACAATTTCTGCTGGTACACCTTCACCAACTTTTTCAACCAATATGCCTGCACAACCAACAATGACACCATTAAGCCTCATTTCCACGACAAGTAAAATCATGTCAACAAGTACAGCCACAACTTCAACAATATTTTCAACAAGTAGGTTGGCACAACAAGTTACAACACCAACAGTCCAGAGCTTCCCCACTGGTAAAAGTGTTTCCATAACTCCAACAACAATCTCTACAGGTACACCTTTATCCTCTTTTTCATCTGGCATAACTACTACGCCATTGATTACAACATCAACAAGCCTTATTTCCTACACAAGTAAAAGCAGATCAACAACTACAGCAGTCAATTCAACAAAGATTTCTGCTAGACCTTTGATATCTTCGACAAGCAGGTTCATACAAGTTACAACACCAACAGTTCAGAGTTCCCCCACTAGTACTGATATGCCTTTACAATTGTTTTCAGCTGGCAGAACTACACCACAGACTAAAAAAACAACAGTCCAGAATTCCTGCAATACTACAAACATGACAACACAATCCTTAACTACAACAGCTACAAGGATGTCATCAACAAGTGTGCATATAACACCAGCTATAACATCTACAGTGTATAGTTCCTCAATCATTACAAGCATATCTACAAATCCATCAACAACAATTTCTCTTGGTACACCTTCACACACTTTTGTAACCAGCATGCCTACAACTTCATCTACGACATCATTAAGCCTTACTTCCTCCACAAGTACAAGCATGCCAACAAGTTCAGCAACAACTTCAACAAAGTTTTCTGCTACACCTCCAATTTCTTCAACAAGCAGGTTGACACAAGTTACAACACCAACAGTCCAGAGTTCCCCCACTGGTAAAAGTATATCCACGTCTCCAACAACAATATCTACTGCTAAACCTTCACCAATGTTTCGAACTGGCATGACTACACCACCAACTAAAACACCAAAAGTCCAGAATTCCTCTAATACTACAAGAATGACATCACAATCCTTAACTACAACAGCTACAATGATGTCATCAAAACACAGTACTATACTTCCAAATATTACACTAAGGGTCCAAAATTCCTCCACTGTTACAAGCATGTACACAAATCTATCTAAAATAACTTATATTAGTACACATTCAGCAACTTTTTCAACCAGCATGCCTACAGCACCAACTATACATTCAGGAAGCCTTATTTCCCCCTCTAGCATGAGCCAACCAACAACTACAGCAAAAACGTCCACAAGCAATTTTACACAACAGATTATGACAGCAACAGACCAGAGTGCCTCCACTGGTAAAAACATATCCACAACTTTACCAACAATCTCTAATCATATACCTCCACCATCATTTTCACCTAGCATAACTACACCGCAGACTAAAACATCAACAGTACATAATTCCTCTAATACTACAAGCATGGCAACACAATCCTTAACTACAGCAGCTACAATTATGTCATCAAGCAGCAGTATACCACCAACTCCAACAGTAATTGTCCAAAATACAAGCACATACACAAGTCCATCTACAATACCTTTACATTTTTTTCCCACAAGTACTTATACACAACAGGTTACAAAAACAGTCCAGAGTCCAACCACTAGGAAAAGCATATCCACAACTCTACCAGCATTTTCTACTGGTACACCTTCAGCAAGATTTTCAACTGGCATCTCAAACAATGTAACAAGTATATCTCTAACTCCAATGACAACAACATTTTCTACTTCTCCTTCAAAAACTTCCCCAACTTTCACAACATTAAAAACAACCACCTATACTCCTACCCCGCTTTGTATTTGCTATTGGTCAGACTGGAATGACTTTGGTCAATCAACAACAGATGTTAAAGGTGGTAAAGTAATACCTATGTCTACCTTATCTACCATCTGCTCAGCACCAAAAGAAGTGAAGTGTCGTGCTAAACTTTACCCTGGAGTTCCTCTTTCACAGCTTGGTCAGGTTGTAAAATGTAATGTGAAAGACGGACTGGTCTGCTCGAACAAAGACCAAGGTCTCATACAGCAATGCTTTGACTATGAAATTAGAGTATTCTGTTGTGACAGCAAATGTGGCAACTTCTCAACAAAATACACAACTCCAACTGCTTTTTGGATCTCATCAACAAGCTTGCCTATACCATCAACTAAAACGACAACTGTCCAAAGCTCCTCCACTTATACAAGCATAACTACAATATCAGTAACATCTACCGCAAGTTCTTTAACAATTTCTCCAACTTCCATAACACCAGATTCCATGACCCTTACTCCTACCCCTGGGTGTATTTGCAGTTGGTCAGAATGGAGTAATTTTGGTGGCCCAACAATAGGACCTGATGGTGGTGAAATAGTACATATTAAACAAATAACTGACACCTATTCTCCCATCTGCACATCACTAAAGGATGTAGAATGCCGTGCAAAACATTACCCTGGAGTTCCTTTTTCACAGCTTGGACAGGTTGTGAAATGTAATGTGAAAGATGGACTGATTTGCTTCAACAAAAACCAAGGCCTTGAACAGCAATGCTTGGACTATGAGATTAGAGTGCTTTGTTGTGTTGGAAACCATAGCAGCATCACAACACAATGTCCAACCACCACTATGGTTTCATCAGGTACCACATCTGTATCACCAAATACAACAAAAACAAGCGAGCATTTCTCTACAAGTACAATCACATCCATAATTTCAATACCAACTTGGTCAACTATCATGCCTACCCTGCCGTCTACAACACAAACAGCCCAAAATTTCCCCAGTGGTACTAGCATATACACAACTCCAATGATTTCAAAATTTCTATCAACTGCTTCAACAACGTCTCCACTGTCCAAAACAGCCACACTTACTCCTAACCCTGGCTGCATGTGTCGTTGGTCAGAGTGGTTGGATCTTGGGGGCCCAACAACAGGTCCTGAAGGTGGTGAAACAGTGCCAATCAAAAAAGTTTTGGACGGTTATCCTACTATCTGCTCTGTGCCAAAAGAAGTTGAATGTCGTGCAAAAAATTACCCCAGATTGTCTCTTTCCCAGCTAAACCAGGTTGTGAAATGTAATGCCAAAGATGGTCTTGTGTGCCTGAACAAAAACCAAGACATTACACATCAATGCTTTGACTATGAGATTAGAGTATTCTGCTGTGATGGAAACTGTGGCAGTACCTCAGCACTGACACCAAAAATTCCTTTGCTTACTCCTACCCTTGGATGTAAATGCCATTGGTCAGACTGGATGGACTTCAGTAGCGTAACAACCGGTCCTGAAGGTGGAGAAATAATTTCCATCAAAAGAATAACTGACACCTTTTCTTCCATCTGCTCAGCACCAAAAGAATTAGAATGCCGTGCAAAACTTTACCCTAAACTATCTCTTTCACAGCTTGGCCAGGTTGTGATATGTAATGCAAAAGATGGGCTTGTGTGTCTTAACAAAAATCAAGATATAACACAGCAATGCTTTGACTATGAGATTAGAGTATTCTGCTGTGATGGAATCTGTGGCAGTACAACAGCACTGACACCAAAAATACCTTTGCTTACTCCTACCCTTGGATGCAAATGCCATTGGTCAGACTGGATGGACTTTGGTAGCTTAACAACCGGTCCTGAAGGTGGAGAAATAATTTCCATCAAAAGAATTACTGACTCGTATCCTTCCATCTGCTCAGCACCAAAAGAATTAGAATGCCGTGCAAAACTTTACCCTGAACTTTCTCTTTCACAGCTTGGCCAGATTGTGATATGTAATGCAAAAGATGGGCTCATGTGTCTTAACAAAAATCAAGATATTACCAAGCAATGCTTTGACTATGACATCAGAGTTTTATGCTGTCATGGAAAATGTAGCAGCTCCACACAGGCAGCAATCACCTCTACTAGGTTGTCACTTTCAACAATAACCACACCAATAACAGCGTCCTCGAATAAAATCCCTACACAACAGATACAACCTTTTACTACATCAAAACCAGTTACTTCTACTGGTCCATGTATTTGTCATTGGTCAGAACCATTGGACTTCGGTGGCCCAACAGTAGGTCCTGAAGGCGGTGAAATAATACCAATTAAAAAAATAACTGATGCCTATCCTACCCTTTGTTCAGCCCCAAAGGAGGTAGAATGCCATGCAAAACTTTATCCTCAACTTTCTCTTTTACAGCTTGGACAGGTTGTTATTTGTAATGCAAAAGACGGGCTCTTGTGTTTGAATAAAAACCAAGATATCACACAGCATTGCTTTGACTATGATATCAGAGTATTATGCTGTAATGGAAAATGTGACAACTCCACAGAGGCACCAACAACTATTCCTAAGTTGTCAGCTTCAACAACAACAACGACATCAAGTACACCTTCAGAAACTTCTACACCTTCAAATACATCAAAACCAACCCAACTTACTCCTACCTCTCCATGCATTTGTCATTGGTCAAAATGGCTGGATTTTGGTGGCCCAACAACAGGTCAGGAAGGCGGTAAACTAATACCAGTCAAAATCATCACTAACACCTATCCAACCACTTGCTCAATACCACAGGGAATTGAATGCCGTGCAAAACATTATCCTGGACTTCCTGTTTCAAACCTTGGCCAGGAAGTAAAGTGTAATCTTAAAGATGGACTTGTTTGCCTAAATAAAAACCAAAATATTACCCAGCAGTGCTTTGACTACGAGATGAGATTGTTGTGTTGTCATCGAGACTGTGTTAGCGCATCTCTACCAGCAGCATTGACTCTAGCTTTACACAATTCCTCCACAAGACTAAGCACAACCACTGTACCCACAACAAGAGCTATGACTACAACCATTTCAAAAACATTTCCTTCTAAATGTATTTGTCATTGGTCAAAATGGGTGGACTTTGGCAGCCCAACAAAAGGACCTGAAGGCGGTAAACTAATACCAGTCAAACTCATCACTGACACCTATCCAACCACCTGCTCAATACCACAGGGAATTGAATGCCGTGCAAAACATTATCCTGGACTTCCTGTTTCAAAGCTTGGGCAGGCAGTAAAGTGTAATCTTAAAGATGGACTTGTTTGCCTAAATAAAAACCAAAATTTTACCCAACAGTGCTTTGACTACGAGATAAGATTGTTGTGCTGTCATCAAGACTGTGTTAGTGCATCTCTACCAGCAGCATTGACTCTAGCTTTACACAATTCCTCCACAAGTGTAAGCACAACCACTGTACCCACAACAAGAGCTATGACTACAACCATTTCAAAAAAAATTCCTTCTAAATGTATTTGCCAGTGGTCAAAATGGGTGGACTTTGGCAGCCCAACAGAAGGGCCTGAAGGAGGTAAACTAATACCAGTCAAAATCATCACTGACACCTTTCCAACCACCTGCTCAATACCACAGGGAATTGAATGCCGTGCAAAACATTATCCTGGAGTTCCTGTTTCAAAGCTTGGCCAGGCAGTAAAGTGTAATCTTAAAGATGGACTTGTTTGCCTAAATAAAAACCAAAATATTACCCAGCAGTGCTTTGACTACGAGATGAGATTGTTGGGCTGTCATCGAGATTGTGTTGGCGCATCTCTACCAGCAGCATTGACTCTAGCTTTACACAATTCCTCCACAAGAGTAGGCACAACCACTGTACCCACAACAAGAGATATGACTACAACCATTTCAAAAAATATTCCTTCTAAATGTATTTGCCAGTGGTCCGACTGGATGGACTTTGGCAGCCCAACAACAGGGCCCGAAGGTGGTGAAATTGTACCTATAAAAACAATAACGAACACATATCTTAACACCTGCTCTGCTCCAACTGAGGTTGAATGCCATGCAAAACTTTTCCCTGGACTACTACTTTCACAACTGGGCCAGGTAGTAACATGCAATATTAAAGATGGACTAGTTTGTTTAAACAAGAACCAAGGTGTTACTCAGCAATGTTTTGATTACGAGATTAAAGTATTATGTTGTCATGGATTGTGTGGAATATCATCAACAATTTCACAAAAAGATCAGTATTTTTCCCACAGCACAATTATTACCACACCAAGTTTGCCAATTATCACAGGTTCATTAGGAGGTCACAAAACTGCACATCAAGATTGTGTCTGTGAAATTTATGGCAATACGTTTAAGCCAGGTAATCTATTTTTTCTTCTCTACTTTTCAAAAAACTTTTTTTATATACTGGATATACATTTATTTATAATTCTTTTGTTGTCCTAATAAATAAAATGCATATTCAATAATGAACGTTTTATCTTAACCTCTTTCTCTTAATCCACAGAATCAGAAATTTACAATAAAACTGATGGTGATGGATGGTGTTACATTGCAAAATGTGTAAAAACAGAAGACAAGAAGTGTGATGTGATAAAATTATCACAACCCTGTTTAACAACAGTATTGCCTTCAGGTCACAACTGTGATAAATATATGCCTCCCCTTACAGTAAGCACTTTGTATAATTAAGGTTCATGCAAAACATTTTATACAATCCAGATTTTGCTTTCTTTGAGTAACTTCAAATACTCTACAACACCACTTAATAACTATTCTTCTTTCTTTTTTTAGAATGGTGTATCTATTCATGTGGGAAATTGCTATATAGACACATGCATAAATGGTACAATAGAGCATAAACCAGTACACTGTGATCCTGTAGAGTATCCTGTGTGTGATAACAAATTTCCCCCCATAAAAGTTGCTGACGAGTCTGGATGCTGTTTTAAATATGAGTGCCAATGTGAGTTAATGGCTATCTAATGTTCTATTGAAGTATTGAGTTATTGTCTCAAAGTTTTTTTGCACTACACAAATTAACTGTATATGTTCATTTGTAAACTGTATATTTCAGGTGTCTGCAGTGGCTTTCTCAACCTACATTATGTCACATTTGATGGAAAATATTACCCTTTTCAAGGAAACTCCACTTATGTGCTTGTGCAAGAAATTTATACAACGTATAATTTTAGTGTTGTAGTTGTTAATATCTCTGATTTTGAAGAAGGTATTTCCTGTCCCAAGGCTCTGAAGGTTCAATACAAATCTTCTGAGATCATCATGACTCAGAGGTTTTCTGGTGGAAGTGTAATGAATTTGGTAAATAATTTTTTTTTTTATCTAAATTTCAGATTCCTTCTGTGACAAATTCCTTTTAACGTTTGCTATATATTCCATTAAAATGATCTGGCACACACATTTATAATGGTAACATGATGTTAATATTATACATGTATGATGGCTCCAGACTCATCCACCACCATCTCCAACCAAGTTGTTTAATAGCTGTTAATCTAAATCACAAAATTTGCATTATTAATAATACACACAATTGACAGAGCAGAAGATGGGTTGGGCTATAATTTTTTAGCTGCACTTTATTTTCACAGCTGGCTTACATGTAGATAAGTACCATCAAATTGAATGTTCAGGACATATAAGTTTATGCTTTGATCTATTTTTTTATTTTATTTTTTTAGATTTATGTTAACCACAAGGAAGTAAAGTTGCCATTTCAAATTAAAGATGTCCGTGCCACAGAGAACGGCAAAGAGTCTCTTGTGGTCATATCTGAGATTGGTGCACAGATCTCTTTTAATGGCACAATGTTTTCCATCAACCTCCCATGGCAAAAGTTCCATGGTAACACAGAAGGCCATTGTGGTAGGTTCACAGTCTTGCTAAAATGATTGTGTACAGATTAAATTACACTGCTAGGTTGTCTGGGTGTACAGTAAATCATTCTTCTTCTTTTTTTTAAAGTGAGTAAATATTGTGTGAATGTGTAATTCTTGTATAAAACTTTATATTTCCAATGATACTTCATTTAATACATTTACTTCATATTTATTTAATATGTTGTCTAAGTCTTGTATTCAGGGACTTTTTAACCTCTGATTTGGTCTTTTTAGGTGTTTGTGATAATAACCACACAAATGATTGTCGCTTGCCAAATGGCACCATAATATCATCTTGCCAAGAAATGGCTCCATATTGGTATGTTCATAACAACAACAACAACAAAACCCTTCTGTCACCAAGACATCGGTCCACATCAGTGCCATGCCCTTCTTCTGCAATATGCAAAATCATTGAACGCAAGTAAGCATGTCATTAAAATATTCTTTAAAAACAAGAATAACAGCATAATGACAAAAGTAATACTGGTTTGTGAATATATTTTCAACTCCTGATATTATGTAGTTAATGAAGATTTCCAAAAAGTTGTGCTTTCTTCTATTAACACAATTTATTTTAAAAACTCAACAGGCTTTTTGAGAAATGCCATAAGTTCGTCCCTCCTGAGCCCTATGTGTCAGCTTGTAACATTGATGTGTGTAACATGAACAACGGAACAGTTGGCTGTGCCAGACTGCAGGCCTATGCTAAGAAATGTGCTATGGCAGGAGTATGTGTTGACTGGAGAGATGCTACCAGTGGAATGTGTGGTCAGTATATTTATTATCTTAACAGAACTGCAGCAGAATAACTTTTATTGTTGTATTTATAAACACACATTTCCATTTTTTTATTTATTCAGATTTTAGGTGTAAAATGCCACAGAAATATCTAGCATGTGGTCCTCAAGTGGAACCAACCTGTGATGGAAGGTATTTGAAATTTTGACAAATATTCTGAACACTTAAGAATGTATATATATATTTAAAATTTGCAAGATAGAAAAATGAAGTTGGATGGAAATGATTAATCATTATTTTTTGTATGATTTTAGATTTAATCTAAAATATTTACATGACAATAATGCATTCAGTAATTTGAAATCCATGCAACGGGAGGGATGTTACTGCCCAAGTGGTACCACACTTTTGCGACATAATTCTAATGTCTGCGTTCCAAGCTGTGGTAAGTGTAATTTAATTTTGTATTATATCAATGCTTTGATTAATGTCCCGTATGTAGGTGTATGTCTTTAAAGTTTAGACATTTTGACTATATATCAAGTGTATGCACATCATCAACAAACAAAACCTTACATATAAGTATCCACACATATACGGCTTATATATACGTATATAAGCCATATATGTATCCACATATAAGTATCCACACATACTGCATATCCACACATATATGGCTTTGCCACCCATATACAGTGGAAATAAAAAAGAAATCAACTATGAAGCATCACAGGCTTCGTACTAGAGCTAGGTTCACAAGATTGATTAGCAGATTTTAATCGTTATTCATGTTGATGAACCGATATCGATTTTTATATAACAACAAGTCAGTCAGCTAAATGCATCAGTCTGCATTGGTTATTTTGCATGATGGAAATGCATTTTGCCTTGCATAAAATAAAATAATTTGATTTTATTTGTTATAATATGTTATACTGTATATAATATATATATAATATGTTATATAATTACTTTGGATGTTAAAATGTTTTCTGTTTGTTTATGAGCAGGTTATAAGGACGTCACAACTTCTTTTGGCTCTCAGAAACTTGGGACAGCGGCCTGAGGTTCACAGTTCCCCACCGTACACCTTTCAGCACATCAGATTTCAGCAACACACCAGCACGAGGACCAGAACCATTTCGGTAAAAAAAGATGAAATAGAACAGTTACACATGAATCAAGATGTTACTTTTAAATGTTAAATGTTTTTTTTTTTAAAATGTTTGTTAAACAAGTTTAAATGTAGGTAATATATAAATTACTAAAAAGTATAAAAAATATGCTGTATTTAGAAGTGTATTCATACAATATAGAGGGCATATTGTGTAAACAGTGGTGGTGTAGGTTTTTTTTTTTTTTTTTTTTTTTTTTTACTAAATTTAACAAATTGAATAAATGTAGAAATAAAATATTGGTGACCTGTGAATTACTCCAATATCCAAATTGCTTGCTCTCAATCTCTACCAGTCATCACTGTATCAATATCTATATTGTGAGATTGTTTTTAAAAATACACTATGTAACAAATGTTATTGAATGTTATATGTCAAAATTGTATTAACTTCTGCTGTAATTGTCCTATAATTTTATTTAAAAGGAAGTTTGACAAACTACAATATTAAAGTTGGCATGAAACGGAGGTTGTTATTGTATTTTCTTCCCTATTGTGACATATTTCCAAGTGGCATGGCATCTGGAACAAGAGAAAATGTAGGGCTGGACTTGATTTTATCCATGCAGAATTGATTGGATTGTTGTGGTGTGCTATTGGTCGATCTAATGTGAGTGACAGGTTGTCCTGCCTTCGCACCAGTAAACACTTTATCAGAGAAGAGAAGAGATGTCAAGTTATTTAGATTAAAGATTATGAGGACACTTGATTTTTTTTTTTAATGGGCATTGATAAATCTCATAATAAATTAATGCAATAGTACATAAAAAAACAATAATTGTCAATTTTGATTTCAGTCTTTAAATTTAGGATTATAACATGGAAAGTACAGCTCAATTAAACTAGCATATAATGTTTGAAAATTCTAATTTTAAAAAACAAACAATCAATGGCTTCAAAATGTATGTTTGGGCTAACTCATGAATCAGCTTTGAAGAGTGTGATGTTAGCCTTTATCCCCACAAGAACTCCACATGCCCTGTAGGGTACAATGAAAAGATAAAAATAGGAGTCTGTTATAGTCTGTTCTGTATTCAAGTTATAATGTGTTTGTGTGTGTGTGTGTGTGTGTGTGTGTGTGTAGAAAGAAAGAAAGAAAGAAAGAAAGAAAGAAAGAAAGAAAGAAAGAAAGAAAGAAAGAAAGAAAGAAAGAAAGAAAGAAAGAAAGAGAAAGTGACTTCAGAGCCTGCCTGAAGCATTCTTGGTATAAATGGCTGAGTGGTGCTGTAAATTGCTGGTATAGTATAATCGTATAAGCTTAGTAGTATTAATTACATAAATGGTCTTATGTAGCTTGATGCTAATTGTAGCTCTAATGCACCTGCTGAACAGGTGCAGTTATTTTATGATATATTCCGTCAAAATAATTCATGTAATGTTGTGGGAAAATGTTTTGTTTTGTTTTCTAAGAAGCCTTTTTATAATAGGTGGATAAATGTATATTGGGATCAAAGTAATGGGCAAACCACAAATTGCCAGAATAAAGGCTAATATTGGCTGAATAAAAACAAAAGAATAATGATAAAAGAAAAATGAAGATTTGGTCTCATACCTGGCAGAGGTGTGAAAGGTTTGTTCAGTAAGAACAATAGTGTTATATATTCCCTGGCTTTGGTTTCTTGTGTGTTTTTGTTATGTGGCGTTTCAGTTTGCATTTTGCCATGGTTCTGTTAGGATGATGCTAGAATAAAATGTTTTTAAAATGGAAAGAGTTAAAGTACAGTTAAAGGTATTCAAATATATACAAAAATTACCTTAATAGAAACATAGCAGTGTACTTAAAGTACAAAAATAATATATAAATAGTAAACTATAAGAATGATGTTGTTCACTTGAAGAAAACTTACAAGTATACTTGCATTACAAAACTACTAAACTAGTAGTTTACTGAAATACTTCAAAGTGTACTTTCTTATAGTTTTGTGCTACAAGTAATAAAATAGTAAACTACTAGTATACTTATAAGTTCATCTGTAGTACAGATGCAGTACAAATGAGAAATGTAGTTGTGAACTAGTTGTGCACATAAAGTTTACTACTGTTAGCCTACATAGTAAACTTATATGTATACTTTTATATACTAAAAAGTGCGCCAATTTAGTCCCAAACAGAATTGAACACTTACAAGTTTACTACTGGTACACTGATAGTAGTACTTACTACATAAAGTATACATAAAATACACTTGAACTTTACTTAAAGGTGCCCTAGAATGTTTTTTTTATTTTATTTTATAATGTTTCCTGGGTTACCCTTATAATGTTAGTATGTTTTTTAGATAAAAATAATCATAATTTAGAAATAAATGGCATTTTTCCTAGCCTGCTTTTAGCCTCTGATTTGAACACTCTGTTTGAAGGTGCGTGTCTGCTGTGGGATTCAGTGTAACCGCGGCCACTGCTGTGATTGGCTGACATGCTTGCATATGAAATAGCAACGCATTACATGTGAAACTCTCTCCCGAATACTTTTACTACTGCTATTATACGTTTTTACTATAACAGCTATCGAGATTAACGAATCGTGAGATGTTTTTAAAGTATTTAGATCTATTCCCATCACATAAAATGTTGCCGTGATGAGCATTGAGCAGATGACAGTGTGTTGATCGTGAGAATGAAGATCTTATCATTGCAAAGCAGTTTCTGCACTCTCTCTGCTTTCACCAATGCAAACACGATGATGTAAATATAGTAAGAGCTTCGTTGTGCAGTAACGTGCGTCATTGATTTCATAACGAGTTTGGCAAGTGTCCAGATAAACTCGCGCTGTGTGGAAAGATTGTTCTTTGATCGCTTTCTGTATAGGCCTATAATTTGTTCACAATTTAAATACGATTATTTTCATCCTACTAAAAGAAACGATGTGAAGCTGATATTTTAGTCACTGGCTTGACTTACTGATGCATAAACAGTATTGAACGATTTTGAGAGAAAGATTACCTGTCTGAACTTGAACAATTACACATCAGAAAGTGTTGCTTGGTAGCTCGATCCGTGGCCAGCTCTGTATTTGCCCAAGTTGAGGAAACACTCGGTGAAATGTTTGGAAATTTCCAGAGAAAATAAAATTAACCCATTGTTTTTTCAGAGGCTCAGATGAAGGAACTAAAAAATACTTTTGTGTTCATGTGTACATCCACACTGAGCAACTGCCATGCTTCGGCTGCACAGTTCCGCCTGGCATTGAGGGCTGGCATTATGCAAATATTTGGAGGCGTACATATTAATGATCCCGACTATTGAGTCACAGTCGGTATTGTGTGGAGAACCGACCGTTTTTCAGGGGTGTTTTTCATAAACATGAATTAAATGAGAACGCGAAAACAGTCCAGTTTGAGATTCACTCTATGTCATGTCCATGCACTGAACTCTTGTTATTTGACTATACCAAGGTAAATTCAATTTTGAATTATAGGTCACCTTTAAGTATACTTCAGAAAATAAACTCCATAGATGTGAATGCTTAGTACGGTGCTTCTCACAGAGATCCCACAACATCTCAACACGTAAAACTTCGCTTCATCTATATTTTTTAATACCATTCAGTTCCCTTTCGAAAGGGAACTCGCACTGCGTCGATGACACTATTGGGGAACGCCCTCCACGTGAACCGGTGTCTGAAAGCTTATCCAATCACGGCAATCTTATTGACCGGCGACAGCCTATGACGTCACTACTAGTGCGACTTCGGAAGTATAAAAGGGGCGCCTAGTGAACATGTCATCCTCTTTTCATCTTCACGGACTGTTTTGTTTGTAGCTTCATCCAGAAAACTTCAAAAGGTAATCTATGGACTATGTGAAAAACATTTCAGGAAGTGTGTGGATCCGTGTCTATATTGACACTTGATGACACACACAACTTGTGCGTTTAATGTTTGGGCTTGTAGCAAGCAGGATCAGTTCTTGAGGGAACTGCTTGTGCCAATCGTGAGTTTTTTCTTTTGATGCGATTCAGGTCCCGCTCGCGCTGAGGCAGAGCCGAGACTAGAAATGTGGGGTTTCAGAGAAAGCTTGCTGAGGAGTGTGAGAG